TTGTCATTCTTGAGAAGAAGATTTTTAAAGAATTTTCACATATATTTCTATGTAAATTTTTGGTCGTCCATTTTGGCCCCACCCTACCCCCGGGGACATAATTTGAATAAACTTGAGTCTACACTACCTGAGGATGCTTCCATATAAATATCATCAATTATGACTTAGTTATTCTTGAGAAGAAGATTTTTAAAGAATTTTACTATATATTTCTATGTAAAACTGTGGTCGGCCATTTTGGCCCCGCCCTACCCCCGGGGGTCATGATTTGAACAAACAAGCGGAGATAAAAGAAAATAAAGACAAGCATGCTATATATGGTTTTGTAGATAATTAATCGTAGAATGTATAGGTATGCCAGTGCATTTCCTCTGAAAGTTTAAATGAGTGCGATTCTGGAGGAGGGGGTATCCCAGGTAATTCGGAGTTGGACACCTTGTGTTATTAATAATAACACATTATTATTATACTATAGTATGTGGGTTGATAATTTATAACCAAAAACAAGTGTCTGCGTGCATTTCCTATAAAAATGTAAATGAGTGCGATTTTGGAGGAGTGGGTGGGGTTACTCCAGTTGATTACCGAAACAAGTGCCTGTGGGTATTAGGTATTTGTTTGTTTGTTGTGTAACTTCCCTCTCAAATTTTGTTCTATACTCGGCACTTCTGCACTTGAACAGTCAGAGATCTTTTTCATCAATCTCCAATACGGAGTTCGTTCGTACTCTCTTAGACACCTCTGCAATTGGGCTCACGTCAAGATTTTTTATGTAAGGTATAAAATACATGTACTATTTTCCATAGATTATTTAAAATGAAATCAATAGTTCTAGCTTTACTTCGTAAAAATCTATCTTGTATATAATCCTTAATCCAGAAATAAAATTATAATGAAATAAATTAAATGCAATTATTTCTTGTGCTTTACACTGAGAAATACGCGAGCCAACCGTGAACGAATACAAAGCTAAAAGAATGAATGCTGTGGTAAGTACATTCCACATTTCAGGTACACGTTCATGAAATACTGTCGTACTCTTCTTTCCAAAATATTGGCTTTGAACATACTTAAAGAAATATTTTAATGTACTGAAAGCGGCTTACTTAGTCACTGTTCAGTGTAATCAGTCGTCACCGATGTAGACGAAATTTTGCTATACAACACTCCCCATTCCACGACGACACCCGACAATATAAAACAAGAGACCCATGCGCCTTATAGGTCACCTGAGCATCATGCAACAACTTTCCAGTGATTGAATTTGATCCATGTTTTAAGCCAGATGCTATAGCATTTACAATTTTGATCATCATAACTATACACTTAGCAGTTGCTTAGTTTGGTTACTTAATACCCATAGGCAGGGTAGGGGAACAAAAAATGCATTTCAACAAATCAGTAATATTCAGCAATAATTAGTAGTGCCGCTACCACATATGAACCCTTGATTCTTAGGCCTAGATCCACACATTGCACAATTTTTGAAAAGGCATCCTTGCTTTTCAAAAGTATTTGATTAATACCAAGGAGAAAATTTCAAACAATTCATGATCTTTCAGTACATAAGCACACCCCCCCCCCTCTGTAGTACTACTGACCCTGGGGCCTTGAAATTCACAATTCTAGAAGATTAGGACCCTTGCTCATAACTATATAGGTAGTTCGTATGCTTCATACCCAGGAGCAGAGAAGAAAATATTCAAAGATTTAATGTTTTTTCACTATATAATCAATAGAGCCCCACCCTAACACCAGAACCCCTGACCCTGGGGCCATGAAATTCACAACTTTAGTACAGGCACTCTTGCTCATCATATCTATGTACTTAATAAGTTTATTTAATACCAGGAGCAGAGAAGAAAATATTCAAAGAATTCGTGTATTTTCACTATATAATAAAACGAGCCCCGCCCTAACACCAGAACCCCTGACCCTGGCGCCATGAAATTCACAATTTTAGTAGAGGCACTCTTGCTCATCATATCTATGTACATAATAAGTTTATTTAATACCAGGAGCAGAGAAGAAAATATTCAAACAATTCGTGTATTTTCACTATATAATAAAAAGAGCCCCGCCCTAACACCAGAACCCCTGACCCTGGGGCCATAAAATTCACAATTTTGGTAGAGTCACTCTTGCTCATCATAACTATGTACTTACTTAGTTTATTTAATACCCAGGAGTAGAGAAGAAGATTTTCAAAGAAATAATGCATTTTCACTATATACTTATTTAGCCCCGCCATAGCACAAGAACCCCAGGGTCATGAATTTCACAATTTTGGTAGAGGACTCGTTCGTCGTTCGTCGTGCGTCGTCGTGTTAACATTTGAACATTTTCAGCTTCTTCTCTGCAACCACTCAACTAATTTCCACCAAATTTTACATAAAGCGTCTATGGGTGAAGGGGAACATAAATTGTGAATTTCATTGTCCCTGCCCCTCTGGGGCCTGAGGGGTGGGGCCAAAACCACTAAAATTAGTGCAATCTTTAAAAATCTTCTTCTTTACTCCTATAATATTTTTAAGCAAGGGTGCCTTTTTCAAAATTGTGAATTGTGCAGACCAAAGGTCAGTGGCACTATACTGATTATTGCTGAATATTACTGATTAGTCGAAATGCATTTTTTTGTTCTCCTATTCTGTCTATGGGTATGAAGTAACCAAACTAAACATGCTAAGTGTATGGTTATGATTAGCAATGGTGTATGGCACGCCAAATTCACAAAAATGAGCTAAACCTAGTTTCACAATTGATAAACTAGGTTTATCGACTGTAAACTATAGTTTACAAACCGTAAACTATAGTTAACGATTCGTTAAGTATAGTTTTCATTTGTAAAACTATATTTAACGGTTGTTAACCATAGTTTACGAATGATAATCTAAGTTTATCTGTCTGTAATAAGCGTTAACAATAGATTTTGTTGATAAACATAGATTCACGTTTGTAAACTATAGTTTACAATCGTAAACTATAGTTAAGAGTTGTTAATCATAGTTTCACAAATCGTGAAACTATATTTATCAGATCGTTAACTATAGTTAACGGTTTGTAAACTATAGTTTACAAATCGTGAAACTGTATTTATCAGATAATCTATGTTTTGCAATCGCAAATGATTGTTTTCGGTGTTAAGTGTAGTTTACGGTTGTGGAACATAGATTATCGCGTTAACTATGGTTTACAGATGTAAAATACAGATTAAGGTTGTTAACTATAGTTTACGGTTTGTAAACTATAGTTTACAACCGATAAAGTTTATCGATGAAACTATGTTTTGCTCATTTTTGTGAATTTGGCGTGCCATAATGGTGCCTCTTTCAAAATTGTGAATGCCATGACATCTAGTTTGAAACATGAACCAAATTAAGTCAATCATTGTAAAGTTGTAGCATGATGCTCAGGTGACCTATAAGGCCCATGGGCCTCTTGTTAAAGATTGCATTAATTTTAGTGGTTTTGCCCCCACCCCCAAGGCCCCAGCGGGACAGGGACCACAGGGATGAAATTCACAATTTTTGTTCCCATTCACCCATAGATGCTTCGTGCCAAATTTGGTTGAAATTGGTTTAGTGGTTGCAGAGAAGAAGCTGAAAATGTTCAAAAGTTTACGACCGATTGACGACGAACGACGTACGACGGACGACGACGGACGAAAACAGATAGCAATAGGTCACCTGAGTGACTCAGGTGACCTAAAAAGGTGCTGATGGTAATATCGAAAATTGCATATGCCTACGAGTATTTACCAGTCGTGCTCAGTTTAATGAAATAATTTAAATGTTTTAATTATACCATTTCATGCAGTTCCTCATTCCCATTCAACATTTGTGTACAGCAGAAAATCATGTAAGAAGAGCTTTGAGATTCCTTATCTTCCATGATCTGACTGTATGTATTACTCTGTCCTACTGTCTTGTACACATTCTGTGTAAATTTACGATAAGATTAGAAAAAAAGACATACTAGGTCTTATGTATGTAAACTAAAGAACATTTTAAGGCTAAGTGATGGAAAGGAGAACATTTGCTGGTTTGTATAAACAGCATAGCTGAGTACATGTATTTTATAATTTGAAATTCTTTTCGTGCAAATCGCCATTTTACCCTTATGGATGGGGACTAGATGTACATTTTTCTCTGTTTTCCTGTTTGTCTGTCCCACTTGTTTTATGCAGGCTTCTTTTCTAGTAGCTTATATATGTTGAGCTGATTTTAAATTGGAATGCGAATCGTCTTGATGAGTAACAGATAACTGTTAAAGAAAATATGCAAATACAGTCAGCAAACTCTGTGTTACGCATGCAGCATTCTCAGAATGCTACTATAGTAAATAATGTTGAAAATTATTTGATAAATATACTTTTTTGTGAAATACATTAAAGGAACATTTTTCCGCGTGGATCGGGTATTTCCGTGAAATCTTTCCAAGCAAACATGTAAAAGCACCGAACACATACAAATAGTTTCAATGCAATTATGCGCTATTAAGCCTGTAGAAACAAGTACCATTACAGCATACCAGTTGAGTATGTTTGGCACCGTTTTATAGGTCTTTGGAGAGAAAAACAAACTACAAGGAGAGAAAATGCAAGATATATTCGTTACAGAGTATAATGGTGGTGAGACTAGTTCCCGCAGCAGACGTAGGAGGGATAGTCCGGACTGCAGAGATACACTAGTGACGGTGATCCCCGAAAAGGTCCGAATGAAAAGAAATATCGGGCTGATCAGAGGCACATCTCTCATTGTCGGAAGTATCATAGGTAAAATTCATCAAGTCTTCACGTTCAAAAACGAAGGAAGAAAACAATAAGGGGACGTTAAACTAAAAGCCATGTTTATTCTATTTCAAGCAAAATCTGTCAAGTTTCTTTCTTCGTGAAATTTTCATCAAATTTTAAATAAATAAATGTGAGAGCTTATCCTTGAAAACGCTTTATAAATCATAAAATATCGATTATAAATTGTTTATTTAATGTTTAACAGTGGCCTTATTTCTTTAATGGGTAAATATTTTTTAAAGATAAATTAATCAGTTGAGTTATTCACAATTGCTGTCATGTTTTAAGTTAATCAAAATATTAAAGTCTATAAGAAAATGTCCTTTATTATATACCGGTATCTTTTATAATTATTTGGGGAATTAATATTTTCTATATCTATTCATTTCTTGCAATTATGAAAATTGCATAAAACATGTACCGTAGCAAAAAAAAACAACTTTTGCGTTTTAGAATATATTCAAATATTAATGATTTACCAAAAGAACTTGATTTTTATTAACCTTTATTATCCATGTGCTCCTTGTCATGATCGGAAAATAATGGAAAATCCTTTGACAATTCAGTATGTATTTAATGGCCTAACAAGTATATTTACATGCTTTTGAATTTTGATTCCGCCAATCCACGTGCTCCAAGCCCTGCTTCTGTCTAACTATTTGTCCCGCTCTGCACGTGATTTTTTTTACCGCGCCTATTGATGAACCAATACATTAATGGGGAAATAAAGTACATTTACTATTTGTAATTTTATCTCGGACAAAGACATAGGAAATGTAAACATCAATTAATCATATACTCATTGGCAATTGAAAATTGTTGGTTGATAACTTACATTGGTATAATTGCTTTTTTAGGATCAGGAATTTTCATTTCCCATAAAATCGTGGACAAAGGTGTTCTAAAAGTAATGGGCGAGAACTGAAATTTTCAGTAAATGGTTTAAGTGAATCATAATGTTTTTGATAATATATACTCAAAAATAAAGGCTTTATTTCTTTAATGGGTAAATATTTTTAAGATAAATAAATAAGTTGAATAATTCACAATCAACATATTGAGGAATGATTGCTGTAATGTTTTAAATTAATTAAAATATTTTTAAAAAGTATGTAAGCTGACAAGGTCCTTGTATCTACCATAGCCATAGAACATACGGATTTAAAATGAAGACTTTAAATGAGACTGCTGATATTTTTGTTTCAGCAACTTGTTTGACAATAATTGACCTCAAATTTAAATAAAATTCATACGAAGAGCATGTTCTTGCGTCTCCAATCATTATCTTTCATTTCAAGCTTACCGGGATATATCGTATTGACATAAATACATATGGAAACAAAAATTGTTAATTTTGACAACTTTACGTTTCATCGATGAAATGAGCTGAAAGATTCATTGCGCAAAGGATATAAAACAACAAACAATCACGCACTGTCATTGTCTTCATGATTCTAAAAAATCAAATAATAATAATTTAAGATAAATAGATTTTTGAAATATCAATCTGAAAGATTAGATCCAAGATATGGATTTTTTTTCTTTCGTTTCATTTGAAGGTGCACTGTCTTACGCTGAATTAGGTATCGTCCTACCGAAATCAGGAGGAGAATATATCTACATCAAAGAAGGCCTTGGAGACATACCTGCATTCCTTTATGCCTGGATATCAATTATTGTCATTCGGACAGCCTCTATAGCCGTCGTTGCTCTGACATTCGGAGAAAACATGGCCACTCTTTTCCATTATTGTGGGTCCCCTGCCCTCCCAATCAAGCTTGTGGCAGCAGTCGTCATTGGTAATTTTTTATATTTAAAATAAAAAACACCACAGAGTCTGCGACAAATGTTTCATATTTGGATGTTTTACCGATTATAAAGACCAATTAACAACTAAATTGTATCACAAACGAGTTGACTTCAGCTTTTCCTTGGTCAACTTTCCTTATTTATTAATAAGCTGATGTAACGTGGGTTTAAATTCGTCGCATTTCCTTAATTTTTTATCTTGTCAAATGGCAAATATAACCTATAATTGGGTTGTATTTTGGCTGACTTGTTTGATACGTTTTTCAGGCCTTTGTTATTTACTTAATTTGAATATGGAGACTTCCCTCTGCATGATCTATACATATGGCTTACAGGGGTGTGACTGCTCAACAGGGGATGTTCACTCCTTCTAGACACCTGATCTCACCTCTGGAGTTCCTAGACAGCTGTGTTTATGCGCTCTTCACAAATATGTATTGTTTTCGGATTTTTTAAAAAGACAATCACTGTTTGTTGTTTTCACTCTTCATTGCTTTTGTGACGCAACCCCGCCCCCCCCCCCCCCCCATTAACCTTAATAGGGTCTTTTCTATCACCTGGTTACTAGTTTTACTCTATTAAATTTTTTCTACTTTTTAGTGACCTTGGGAGTCATTAACAGCTACAGTACATCGTTAGCGGGAAGGACTCAGGTTATATTTACTTTTGTGAAGCTAGCATCTTTAACAGTCATTTCGATCGGAGGAATCGTCAAGCTTATACAAGGTAAATCATATATATCTGGACAAAGAAAAGTGCACATATTTCAATCAGCTAGCGCTAAAAGTTCGCTTTTCTTTGTACAGGAAACACTGATCAATTTAAAAACAGTTTTGAAGGTACGACTTCGCTCTCGAATGTTGCAATGTCATTTTACACCGCCATATTTGCTTACGGTGGATGGTGAGTCAATTAGTTAAAAGGAATTAATCACATAAAATTTGTGAAAGCATCAGATTTATCATAAGAAGTTATAAATAATCTCATTGAAAATTCCCAAGGTTTAATGCAATGATAATACATAATATAATATGTCAAGTAAACATTGTAGGCAAAATATAAATTTTGTGACAGAAGAACTGAAAAATCCAGTCAAGTAAGTCTTTAATATCATACAAATTTTCTTATTTGCTGATTACAAATTTTGATTAGTATCAGATGAAAGTAAACTATTAAATACGTTTTTCTGCATTTGTTTTTTTTTATGTTTCGGCAATGAAAATAAAAGCAAAGATTAGGGTGTCTGTTTGTGATCAATGTGTTTTTAAGAATTAAAAAAAAAGCTTGTACAAAGTGTTTCTAAATCAGATCCATTTTCTCTTTTATCATTTATGAATTCTGTGGTCTTTGCTTCCGAACAGGGTGGGGAGATTTCCGACTTAACCATTTATTTTCAATACTTTTTTTTGTTCGTTATAATTCCCATTACCTGAATCACAATTAATTTATAATTTTACAGAAAAATTACCTCGGCATTTTAAAACAAAAATTCTGGACCAGGAAAGAGGTCATTGACGATCACTACAAGTGTGTCATTCCAGGGCTAAGGTAGGGCCTTGTCAACATTTACATAGGAATATTTAGGAAAAATCTTTAAATATCTTCTTTATGACCATTGAGACAAGAAATAGAAACTCTTGTGAAATCATTCTCCAGCAAATTTGTTGCCGCGGTGAGTATAGATGTGGAACACAATTATGCCTTTATAGAAAAAAAAAAATCTTGTTGCAAGAATTACAGGACCAAAAAAGAGGTCCACGCAAGTGGAAATATATAGTGTAGATTCGAGTTTGTTAAACCGGATGGGGGCAAATAAAAGAATAGATTTGTGTAAGAATGCAAAGGTAATGGTGTCTCTAAAGAAAAACTTTGAGATCGATATGTTTTTAGGATTAAAAAGGCCTACAAATTGTTTATAAACAAGATTTGTTACGAATCTTATATCATATGAATTCTATATATTCTTGGCAAATGAAGAGATTTCTCTCTTATTTCCATATACTTTTATATACAAACTAAACATATAATTTTACATGTTTTATGGCACTAACATTCAAAAGGTTTGATGATCACTACAATTGTTTATATTGTCAACATTTAATCTTAACAACTTGAATTGAAAAACTGATAAATTCAACGACTGTTAAAGCTGTTAAAAGATAACACAATTAATTAATTATAGAAAAAAAAGTATTGTTATTTTTAAAATAGAATACGCAAATATAATTTGATATTTCATCAATCCAAATACATTAAAAGCCGTCAAACAGAAATAAAACTGTAGCAATTTTGTTTTTTTATTAATTTTAATTGGTGTTTTAATTTTTCTTCAAAAAAAATCCATTTGGTATGCTGTGTTTTTGTGAATTTCGTGTACCATGGGGTGACCTATTTTTCCCATGATAGATTTCTTCCGTATAAATCCAGAACAGGTGTCAAGTCACAGCCATTATGGTTCACATGTATCAAAATAGCCCATTTTTTTATTGACAAAACCAAAGGCTAATCGGAGATGAAATTAAACAATTTTGTGTATACTACAATCAGTCATTTGATCTACATTGTAGAAAATGTGAACAAAAGTACATGAATATTTACTACACCTAGATTTTTTTACTTGAATTTTAGAAACACATCAATTGTTTTCACGGCAGTGGATTTTTTAAAGGACAGCAACTTGTTCTTTTAATAAAATGCACAAATATTAACATGACACATCTTCTTAACCATTAACTCAACTAAAAATATATATTGAAAAATAATTGTAACATTAAAAACTTTGTCAAATAAAGTCTTTTTCTTTTAAAAGAAAAATTCCAATTATAAAAAAATTTTGTTTTATTTATTTAATTTTAATTGGTGTTTTAATTTTTCTTCAAAATTGAATTAATCCATTTGGTATGCTGTGTTTTTGTGAATTTCAAAGACATATATGACCGCGTACGCGGCATGGCTTCTGTAAAAATGCCATTGTCTGTGATTGTTCCTTTATTCTTTAAATATGCCATATTAATATAAAAATTTTTGATTATATTCAATTAATTTCTTAATTTTGACCAAAGATCGTTTTGCGAATACACTGATGACAGAATTGGATTGTGTATACAGAATCAATTTGATCTACATTGTAGGGCACTATATGCAGCAGCAAGAGAAGGACACTTTCCGGAAGTGCTGTCTTACATACATTGTAAATACTATACACCTTTCCCATCAATTGTTTTCACGGTATGGATTTGTTTTAATGTACATTGATTTTTCGATATAACATATATATTAATATTACCATTCTGTTGTTTAAAGAGTGTGACCGATTGGCAGGGGATGCTCACACCTCCATGGTACCTGAGTCCATGTTAAAAGATTTTCGTGATTGCTCTACTCCTTTCCTTTTATTATTTGAATAGACTTTTGAGCTTGAAAAATGTTCGTTATCTCCATACATTTCATTCAAGCTAAATTAACCTACATTTTGTTTGGGGAAAAAACATAATCGTCCCTGCTAAATAATGCTTTTGATAATATTATAATTGACTTTAATGCCTTAGCCATGGTTAACACAATAGTAATGATAAAAAAAATTAACTTCTGATTAATTAATTTTTCTACTAAAATGATATTTGCATAAAAAAATTCACAGTCTTACTGTCTAGTGTCCTTAACTTTTGAGCAATAACATTGAACCAAGGTCATTACAGATCCTTAAGTCTTCAACAATATCATACACAATAATGAGGTATGATCTCAGTGCGATTTGAATATCCCATTTCATTATACCCCTCTTAAAAATATATAATAAACGGGATGACCGTCCGTCTGTTATGCTTTGGGGTGCCTATCTTTTATCCGCAACTCCTCTTTTACCACTGAATGAAATCTAATAAAGCTTTCACAGAATCTTTGTAATATAGTGCCTTTGTGACGTCCTATTTCACTTTTTGATCGCACACATATTTCTGGATTTCCAAAGCAAAACATTGACACTGCCATTTTTCTATAATATTGAAGGGCACCCATCTCTTATCCGCAATTTATCCTATACCACCGAATAACATTTAATGATACTTTCATAGATTCTTTATTACATAATGCCATTGTGCACCTCCTCTTTTACTTTTTTGATCTGACACTTATTTTGGGTCTCCAAGAGCAAAACGGACTTTGTCATTATAATCATATGGGAGGCGGAGGATATCATATATTAAGCTTGTTGCTCGCAGTACCTCTAGTCTTGACCAAAACCTTTATCTAAAAGGAGCGCAGGGCAGGCATGACTGGTAGGCAGGGAATGGTCCTCAAGGCACCTAATTCCACCTCATATGTTTAAGAGGTCCGTGTGTGCTCTGCTCGTGATTTATATTGTTCGTAAAGTTTTTTTATTTCAGATAGTGATATCGCTGTTTATGGTAATACCTGGAGATATAGGGTCTTTAGTAGACTTCCTGGGCTTCACAACTTGGTTGGTGTATGCAATGACTGTGGCATGTCTCCTAATATTCCGCTACACGAAGAAACACGTGGAAAGACCCTTCAAGGTAAATCCAGTACCAAGAAATAAGAAGAACTGCATTTTTAAAAAGCCCTTTTCTGTCTTAAGCAACAGTCTTAAACTATAAACTGACATACACCTATCAGGCTGTGTTCTTGAATACTGTAGTTCTTGGCTTAGCACATCTTCACTTGCTTTTTACAGACATTAGCCCTATCAAATACACCATAAATGAAAAAAAGAATATGTTTCATTATTTTCATGCAAAAAGAACATTTTGTTAAGCATAATGATAGCAACTTTATTTTTATTCACTGCAATTTTTTTTTCACTTTGTTGATTTTGTGACTGAAATCTTTATAAAAATTGTTTATTCGTAATAAATTATATCACCACAAAATGATCTCTGGCCTCATTCTATCGAACGAAATTTTCATCTCAAGCATTTCTACTAATCAAAAAAGACAGAAAATTCACAGCCCAAATCTGTAATAAGTACAATATTTCCAAGAAAGACATGAATTGAAAAGCAGTCATTGTTATGAGCTATTAAGTCTTTAATGGCTCAAATTCTTTTTCAATCGTTTTTGAAGGTTCCAATTGTGATACCCGTTTTGTTTGTGCTGATCTGCATATATCTAGTGATTGCACCACTTGTAGAGAATCCACAGATTGAATTTCTCTACGCCACCTTGTCCATCGTCGCCGGTCTCATTTTCTACTTCCCATTTGTTTACTTCAAAGTAAAGATAAAAGGGTTCGGTAAGACATTTATTATATGCTCTCTTCGACTACATGACGCAATTCAAGAGAAGATTGAATGATGATTTTCCTTGTTTACAATGAGCACAGGCGGGTGTTTCCGGTCGGCAGGGGTGGCTCAGTCCCCCATGGCACCTGATCCCACCTCTGATGTTTTGGAAGTCCGTCTTTGTTCTCCTCCTATTTTTGTATTGTTTTATGGACTTTTGATCTTGAATACTGTTCATTATCTCCATATTTTTATCATTAAGACTTTGAAATATATTTCATACATCTTTATTATTAACTATTTAACCTCATTTGATTTCCTGAAGCATTTGTTTTAAAAATTTAGGAAAGTTTTTAAACTTGATTTATTTAAAAACTGAGTCAAAATAAATTTTGAAAAATTGAACTATTATTTTTGAATTCCTTTAGTTTTGCGTCCAACGTTTATACTGGAAAAGAATTGAAGTATTACAGTTATTCTATACTGATTTATTAAACTCCATCTTGTTTACATTGTTTTATTGGACAGTAGTATAAGTGACTCAGTGGCCACAACCATAATTTTAGATTTACTCTCATTCACTTTAAGTTCTTCCTGTTTATAATTCTTAAATTTTTCGTATACTTTTGAATATTGTGTGACAATATGCTAATTTTAAAAAGTCAGAAGAGATCATTTTAAGAACAAGATCATTGGGAGTGATGCCACAAAATTATTTGACCATTTCAGAGCTGCTTACAACATCAGTACAGCTACTTTGTGAGGTGGTCCCCTGTCCTTACGAACCGGAAACCTGAAAAACAAAGGAGAGGATTGACAGGGGAATCGTACCAACCATATGTATACCTCTTAAAACGTGAGGAATTGTTCCGCAATAGATTTCAGTGTCTAAAGCATCCAATATCTCTGGTTATAGTTGTCTGTAATACGAGTACATGTAAATCTGAAGAATTTGAAATTCAACACCCAGAAATATAGCTATTTTATTGAAATTCTTAAGGAAGCTCTAAACACTAACAGAAACTGTTTTTGGGACTCAGAGAAAAATATATCATATAACGATATGCATATTGAGACTTTTTCAGTCATTTAGAACATAGGGTACGTGCCTTATTTGTGCAGGAAAAATGTTCAAAGACAATGGACTATTTGTGAGAAGAAATCACTGTTGTTTACTTACATTATGAAAATTAATGAAAATAATTAATCAAATAATTTCTTACTCTTGGTCCTTTATAATGCTAAAAATATTTTAATGTATTATAAATTATGTAATTAACGGTAAATTAAGATTTCTTTAATCTTATATCTAATGGCAGATCACTCTAACTGCATAAAACTACCCAATAAACAGAGCTCTTTAGTGTGCAGTGTTTGGAGCGTCCTTAACTGGCTTTTTGGATAACATATTCGTTTATTGGCAGGTTAGATTTATAAGTTCATGAATCTTAAACATTTTTACATTTATGATCTCAGAATTCCAAATACATGTATCAGTGATTTACTATACCCACCGCTAGTGATGTGGGTGTCCGTTCTTTAGTGTACCCATTTCTGATCTGCAACTCCTCTTGAATGAAATTTAACGAGGCTTTCACAGAGTCTTTGTTACATAGTGCCATTGTGCATCTCTTATTTCACTTTTTGATCGGACACATATTTCGGGTTCCCTGAGCAAAACATGGACACTGCCATACTTTCTATAATAATGAGGGACACCCATCTCTTATCCGCAACTCCTCCTATACCATTAAATAAACTTTTATGATATTTTCAAAGATTTTTTATTATCATATTGCCATTGTACATGTGCACCTCCAGTTTTACATTTTGATCTGACACTTATTTGGGGTCTACCAAAGGAGGACGTGGACATGGCCATTATAATCATATGGGAAGCGGGAGTATCATTTTGAAATGAGCTCAATGCTCAGAATACCTCTAGTTTTGTATGTGTAACTAGATATATCAACTAAAAGTGAATTTAATTTTAATGTGTTAAGTTTTTGTTTATTTTAATTGATGATCATGATTTCAAACTATCTGGTGCCTCTAATCTTTAAAAGGAAGGAGTTACAATTAATATTGAATATGGTTTTAATTGTGTACACAATTACGTTACATATGTTGAAATAACAAAATTGAAAGATAAATTACAGTGATATCGTGATTACTATTATTATTTAAGCATATTATTTTCTTTTTACAGAAGGAACTACAAAGATTTCATAATGAACTAAAAGAAACTACTTACGAAAATTGGGATTTTAATCAAAATGTAATGTAACAATAACAATAATTTGAAAATAAGTATTCAAACAAAATAAATAAAGATTTAACAAAAACAATATCTTATCACAGATAATATCTTCATTAATATTTCTTGGAATAGCTGTCATGTTGACATTTATTGTCATACCGTCGTAGCTTTTGGAAAAGTACAGCTGCCAAAAACTTGTGGAAATTCCACTTTTAAGGTCGCCTATAACCTCGCCTTTATTCTGGCTTTAAGGATTCCATATTTCAGCTTGACGCTCCCTTTACCCTGTTTGTGAACCAGTGGTTTGCTGAGCACTTTATTCTCGGGTAGTATGCATTATGGGTAGATTTATCTTGTTCATCAGAGTTTTGTCACAAAGTCAAAAGCTTCCTCATACATTGGAGGAGGAGAGTTTTGGCCGCTAGAGGGCGAACTGCTGACAGTTGATACCGTGTCATCAATTGTTCCATCCATAGACTCCAGGTCATCAATAGAACCCATTGTATCGTAAGTTGCCACTGTGAAAATGTCAGAGAAGTCCACAGATAATGCGTCGTTTGAGTACTGACGTCCGAATCTCTCTACTGAAGCGGTGTCATCGAACTCGTTCATTGTCTCTTCGATCGGTTCTAGTGTTGTCATTGGAGCAACAGAGGCTGGTCTTCGTGATTTCTTCTGTCTCTTCCTCTTTTCAAACCGTCTGAAAAATTAAGTAATTTTGGATTAATAGCGAATTTAAATGGATAATAAAATGTCACCAACTTTACCTATTTTTGAGAAATTGATGACAACTGTAAATAAATGTTTGGTGAACAAGATGTTTGATTATTACTATTGTTTAAAACAATGTGAACAAATTGCTTTATTTTACTTTTCATTTAGGGTACTATCTCATGCATTAAAAAATATTGTATCATTTTATGTAATAGAAAAGACCGTAAAGTAATCTTTGTACTAATCGGGTTACCTTCTCTAAATAAAGCATTATTATTATTATTATTATTATTAATAGCGAATTTAAATGGATAATAAAATGTGAGTTGATGACAACTGGTGACGGTAAAAAGACTATCTAAAAAATAAAATGTTTATTTATAGGGAAATTTTACCTTTGTTAACTCATACTCTTCTTTAAGTAAAGAAATACTTGATGGGTAATTATCATTGTATCCTTAACCAATAAAATATGACACTACTAGTATTATAGAAAACACAAGTAGAATACTTTTTAAAAATAAAATAATACCCAGCATTTCACTGACTAAATAATTTTCTTATTTGAAGGGACATAACTTTTCATTCGATCTAAAATTAATTTCATTTACTGAACAGACAAATAAGAAAAATAAATCAGCTTTAATTACATCAGTATATGTGCTTTAAATGGTAGTTCTAAGACAAGGTTTAACCTGTTATTTTTCTGTTCCAGTTCCATCTAACCAGTGGTACATAAAAGATAATGGCGGATCCCGCCACAGCCAGGGTGAAGATAAATTCTCCCTTCAACGGATAAATGGTAAAAGGGGCGATCACCAGGTAGCCAGCACCGAGCGTGACAAAGATAGGGACTAGTATGTTAACCTTCAAAATTAAAGATACTTTATATTTCATCTCCCTTGCATCGTTAGAAAAATAATAATTTTCATAGAAAGCCAGTCACACGACTAATGAAATAAAGATATTTGAAATCGAAGAAGAATTTTACTTTATAAGGTCGAGGGAGATGGGGCTTTCGTATTCTCATTACAATCAATCCAAAAATGGCAAGTCCATGGAACAGCCAGACCGTAAATATCCAAAAGTGGACCATAAACTGAGAGGAGAAACAAGTGGCCATCACTATGGCTGCAACCGCCTGGAATTTAGTAAGATAATGTTTGTTGATTAACAATGTAATATTTTGTAATTCGTATGAATAAATCAAAATGCAGTTGCCATTTTCACAATTTTACACTTAATATAATATTTTTGTTTGATTCATCAGCTCTCGGTATAGTATAAAAGTTTATACCCTCATTATAATTGCAGGAATATGGCTTTTGGTTCTAACGTGTCTGTAGGTTAAAAATTCTGGTACATATCCATCTTCAGCAGATATGGAAGATAGCCTTTAAAAATAAAAAATAAAGATCTTTTTCTAAAGCTGACTTTCTTTTTATTCTTTACAATTTAAATGATAATAGACTTACCTTCCTGATGCAATTATTGTGTTATTAGCATTTCCGAGGGCCACGAAGGCTACCCCTACAGGAATAAGAAATCCTGCTTCACCTAACATTTTTCGTCCCCACGTCTACAAAATTCGAAAGAAATTTCTTTCTTAAAGATAATGCACATGTTTATGTGTTGTTTTTTGTTGATGTATATTTGGAAACATCAAATTTATAATTATCTACTCATCAACGACCAAATGTATATATGATTTTTAATATTGCTTTGTTTTTTTTTTAAATAATGGGAAAAAACATACGACTCCAAACCAATGATTAGCCGTCATGTCTTCCCTCGTCAGAACTGTAAAATATGACGTCACTGTTGACAGGTAGATTATCATTACCGTGGGAATAACAATTTTCACCAGACGAGGAAGATTTCTGGAAAATAAAGGATAAAGGTTAACATGTATTGAGGAAAGTTCTTAGTTACTGGAGTGATGCTCGGGATAGGATTTTGAAGGGAAAGAATCCTTTGATATGAAAATGGATTTTATAGGGAGCTAATCCCTATTTATTATGAAAACAATATAATTATATCAAACCACATATTTGGAACAATTAAACAATTATTGTCTTTTGGTGAGGTATACTGGTGACAATACGGACTTGGCCAGGTGTTGATTGATCTAGCTCGAGGTAAACTAATACCTGACCAGGTCGGTAGTCTACAGTAAGCCAAATTCAAAAATCAATAACCGCTTTATTAAATAATCAGGAACTTTTCTTCTACTATGAGTATATGGACACTCATAGGTCGGTACTTGGATTAAAACACAAAATTTGATCGGAAAAAAATGTAAGCGGTTGGTCAAGAGGGAAAACCTGAATAAAATTCATTGAACTTCATTCTGAGGTAAACTCAATTTTAGATACGTCCCAGGAAAGAAATTCTACATCAATCAGACAGCATCAATATTCCTGATCATTTAATAATAAGTTAAAATGAAGTTTTTGGTATAGTGTGTTTCCTTGAACACTCCATTTGTTGTAAAGGCATTCCCAATCTCGCACATCATCTTTCTCTTGGCTGCACCATCAAGGAGACCAATCCTATTTCTATCAATGAAACACAACGTAAAAGAGAAAAAAGTTCAAATATGCAAGAGTACGGTGCTTAAGGGTAAGCAGAGTGCAGGGGCACCTGTCTGGTCCCCTAGCCTACTTACTTGGGTGGTTTTCTGACCCCCGCTGTGACAGAAGGGACATTTGACCTGAAAGCATACAAATTAAAACCGCCTTACGTTACGTTCCTAACATAGTATTCGCCATAAAGGCGCAATACCCAGCCCTTTATCCGGGCAAGTCATAGGATTACAGTTTAACCTACCATCCGCCGTAGGCCCACATGGAGTTGTAGACGGCAAATACAATTTGATTGTGGTATGTTTCCGTATCCTCAAAGCCTTCATCCAGGGCTCCAGTTTTTCCTGTTTGTAAAGAAAAATGTTATGTGATGTATCTTGCTACAGAATAAATTAGATTCTGATAATTCTACTGTCAAATAAATGATATGATAACGAACATTATCATGCTCAAAAGTCCATTTAAACAATGCCAAATGCAAGCAAAGGAAACCTCTGAACATCAGAGTTGCATTAACATGGAAGTGTGACATCTACCTCTTTACCGATCTCACTCGTCGTGGATTCCTTGCCATGATCAGGTGAACGGGAAATCCACAAATAGTTCATTATTCTAATAACTTTACGATTTGTATGAGAGACGGTGGTCAACATTTAACTGCACGGCAGATTGTATTTGCAAACGATAAAAGGATTTACTCTATATGTTTATGCATATTGTTGATGCCCTAATAACATCAACTTATTTATAATATATAAAGGGTATCAACAAAACAGTATGTTGGTTGAAATAGTTGTAATAAGTGGAACGTGCTCTTGAATGTCGAGTGAGCCCCTTATTCAGATGAAACGGTATATTGCTACATTAATAAGGAAATTGACAAAATTAAAGGTAATCAGATTAGTAATTAAGTTTAATCTTTAGTTAACAATCAGTGTGTCACTCTCTAGTACAACATCAAATAAATCAGTCAGAAAATAAGTGAAAAATTCTTTATTCAGCATCAAAACCTTATCCCTGGAATCAGGAGGCAATTTGCACATTGCATAACTTATCTATTAGTTTTATACAAATCTCATAAGTTTGAAATACTAAGGAAATTGTTTTTCTTTCATGTTGTCTATTTTCTATTTTTTAGATTTTAATATAAATATTCTTGTGAAAGTCTGATTTTTTTACTTAAATAAAAGTGCATTCTTATTGTGATCCTAGGGTCAGGAGATAAAAAGAAACTTTAATGATCTCACCTGAAGAAATATTATATATTCCACAGACAACGATTGTACCGATGGTGATTATTTTGGCTAGGTTTGACACCGATATCATCTGTCTTGCCAACTGGACATCGTATGCATTAACTATCGACAGAGTCACTGCAAAAGGGATAAGTATTGTCTATGTAATTGATAAAGGAGCAATGAAAAAAAATTATCATAAAAATTATGCAACCAAATATATAACTAAACATCGAATCTAGTATATGATTCATTCTAGGTTTCTAAACCTACATATTGCAATGATCGCCAACAACTTATGCAGAATTACTGGAGGTCCACAATCATCGGCAAGGGAATCACAAATGTAGCTGGCAAAAGCTTGAGCAAACACCGCAGTTGTGCAGGGTTCTGCGGCACCGATGCGCATCCAGGTGTATATAAATGCTGGAAGAGGTCCAAATGCTTTGTGTATGTAACCATATTCGCATCCTGCCCTCCTCACAAATATCTGAAGCTCGGAAAAACAAAGAGCAGCTGAAATGAATGAACATATGAATGTTTTAATGAATAAAGAGTGATAATGTAATACTTCTTAAGTTTACAGTTTCAATTTCCTTCAATTTCTTTCTTTATTTGTTGTTGTTGTCTAAGCATGACTTTATAAGTTGAGAACAATATAAACATCAACTATAGATTAAATCAAATTTTGCATATAAACTTCTACACCTATTAAAGTTTATTTTTCTAAAATGTGCTAAACCTTTTCAGTAATATATCATGTCCATTGGTCAGGGGTTGTGGTCTGAACCACAAGCGTATTTGAAAAGCTAATACACCACAGATTCTGTGACATCTGTTTCATATTTAGATGTATATATTTACTGGTCATAGACGACAGAGGTTAACTTACAACTAAATTTACTGAATATAGACAACAAACGTCAACTAACAACTAAATTGTATGACAATCGAGATGATGTCAACTTCTATTTTGCAATCACCTGCTTATGGTGATTATGTATCACAATTTATTCCCGACTCAAGAGCTTGTTCTGAGTACGATAAATTATTAAAGCGAGACAGCCTACTGAAAAATAAATTCTATAGTCGTCATAATGGAATGTCCGTATTAGCAATTATAACGTGTCCCATAAATTATTTTGACGACTTGTTTCATAAAAATAATTAGGTCTTTGTTTTTATACTAAAGAGCTAGGTTCACTTTGTATTTAAAATAGACGTGACCATATACAAACTAACTGACCAAGTTCCAATGTCAGTATAAGCAGAGACTTGTTGCTGGCTTTGTAGAATCGCATTGTTCTTAAATTTTGAAGGAAATTGGTGTGTTTCAGCACATTCAACAGAAAATTAGATTATCAGCCATTTTCGCAATCTTAAAATTAAAAAATGGCTTAGAATCTAGTATTTTCATTATATAAAATTTAAACAATTTAGATCAAAAGTTGGGGTTTATGCAAAATATTGAAAAACAGCATTACCATTTTTCAGGTTCATGGGATAGTGATGAAAGTCATGACGTCATAATACATGAACTAGCAAGAAAAAAATGTCATTTTTGATAGATATAAAGACAGCAAGGGTCCGTGTGAAAGATATTGTATTTTCAACTAGTTTTCAAAACTAAGCTTTTTTCATATTATCACATGGCCAAAATTTCAAAAACGTCATAAGTGTACTTCATGCTTTGACCACGGAGTGACTGTGTTTCTGATAAATACAAAGGGCTCACGAAGATCGGCCGACAGGGGATGTTTATTCCTCCTAGGCACCAGATCCCATTTCTTGAATTGCTGGGGATCCTTGTTTATGCTCTGTTCATAGAATTGTACTTCTATGCATTGATTTTACTTTTTATGAGATAGATTGTTGTCTACACTTTTTCCATTTCTTTGGTTGCTATTTTGCATATCTCTTGTTTTAGCTAATTACGAGTCTTGTTTTTTGTTCCTAATAGAAACTAATCTCTATTCAAATGAATTTTTACCTATATCTAATGTACGATAATTCCTAGTTTGAAAGATCAAACATTGAATAGATAAACAGGGTAGTTAAGAGTAATGTAATACTGCACACCTTAAGAAAACAATATCAAGGTCACTTTAAATGGACGTGAGGTGAACATACAGACATCTGCTATTTTGATATAGGTTATCTATTACCTGTCTCCCACATAAATTGACCAAGGGGTCCGCAATGTTTGCCAAAGAGAGAAAGCATCCCCAGTGATAGAAAAATTAACTTCTTGTTAGGCAAAAAGGAACTATTGCGGGTAATTTGAGTTCTCTATTTAATTTAGTGTTTACTCAAGGAAGATCCACTGATAACCTCATATTTTCATGTTAAGGACAAAAGGGTTGAAAGGATACATTCAAAGAACATTAACAGACCACGAGTGTAAATAGAATAGTGGATAAACTCTAGCATGAAAGAAATCCATTCATAAAGTTGTATTTCGAATGTTTCTGCTTCGTCGTGCACAGCTTTTACATGTTTTGACCTGCAAAAAGCTCATTAAACACTCTTACATTTATGAAAGGAAATATGTTTGAACTTTAAGCTAATTGTGTTATATTCCAATATTTCTAAGAATGAAAAAGGTTGAGATAACAAACATAAATCGATCTCAAAGAATAAACTCCAAAAATAAAAGAATTCTGTGAACAGGGCATAAAATACAAACCCCAGAAATTCTAGAGATGGAATTATGTGGTGAGAAGGAGTGGGACATTATCTGCAACCCAGAATTTACAATTTGAATCCTTATATGAATGATAAAACAATGGCCTTTTTATTGGACTGTCAGATATAAACAGATTATCAAAACGTGTGTAAAGGTACACATTACATGCAAGTTAATATATATATGGACCTTCTAGAGTATCTTTAGATAGGTCCTAGATCAAAAGAGACAGTAAATGGCTTGAGGACTATTTTTTTTCTAAATTTCGTAGCAAAATGGGAATGGACCACTATTAATACTGGTACTTAGTGTGCGAAAGAAGTTAATACTGGTATGGTCTTAGTGTGCATATAAAGATATAGAAAAGATCAAAATTTTAAAATTTATGATTTTTTTTCTTTGTCAAATGAAACAGGTCTAAAAAAAATATTGGTTACTTTGTGGTTAAATTGGAGAAACTTCCAAATATGCATAAAAAATACAAATCTAACAGGTCAAAATATTGCTGGAGAAACTAAATATGTATATATTATACAAATATGTTTAAATACAAATTCGATTTGAGTTTCAATGGGAAAAGAGAGACAAAGATCAAACATAATGAATGATGTCCCGAGTCTGACGAAACCCTACAGCTAGTTTCAATCGTGTGTAGAGATTTATACAAGTAGCAAAAATTTCTTAAAAATGTCATTCAGGTCCAAAATGACAAGATTTTCAGTAACTTGAAACATACAAATATCAAACAGGACTACTCTAATAGCTGTTAGGAAATGAAAATTAAAAAAAAATTCCAAACGTAGAGAATGCATAAAGAATCGAGTTTGATAAAAAGAAATACCCAGATCGGAACAACAAAAGGGACTTTCTTCTCACCTAAGCAATATCAATCAAAGGCTTGTAAAAGAAAAACATGTATACATTAAATCACCAATAAGATCCAAATGAAGAAGAAGATAAAAATGTCAAAAGAAGAAAGAAATGAAATGAAATGACGAAATAGCTAAACCTTATCAAAATTTTTTACTTTGGTTCAGAATTTTGAGGAAAATACCTTTAACAACAGGAAAAACGTCTTGAATTCGAAATAGGGATGTTAAATACATTGTACATGTATTACAAAAACAGTAGACTTACCACAAGTTGAGAAAATACCACACAGGCCCCATATAATGAAAGTAAGAGCGACCGAGCCAGCCCCAGATACCACGCTCTTTGGGGACGTAAAGATTCCGGGTCCTGGAAAGTATAATTGATAATCGAGTTCCTTTGCCAGTAATAGTGTGGTTTTATTTCAAAATAGATATTAAAAACATTCATTTAAAAATTGAATAGGAAAATAAGATTTTTTAGAATGCATTAGGATTCGGGCTCGAAAACTGGTTGTAGGTGGATGGGAAAAAATTTCAACATCGTTGCTAAATATTCAAAATCCGAAAAAAAATCGATGAAGTTGAAGGGAGTTAAGCAATTAAAGTATATGAGTTGCAAACTTGAAGTTGGAATTTTTTGTAATGAACTATTTTGTTGACAAAAGAAGAACATATATAAACTCCTGATGTTCGTATTTTTTTATGAACAACTAACTTTAAGCCTTTATTGAAGCAAAGTGACATTATTGTCATCCTGTACAAGATATTTTTTTATATAATACTATACTGTTAAGAAATCTTACTTCTGTATACTACAGAGTCTGACACATCTGTTTTCATATTTGGATATTTTACTTGAAAAAGACATTAATGGTAATCTAACAACCAAGCTCTATGATAAACGTGATGACTTTAACCTTACAAACTTTCCTTTTTATGTAGCAATATGTCTTCATCACTTACATAGAGTTTATGTATCTCAGTTGATTCGATACGCAAAAGCATGTTCTACGAACAATATGAACAATTTCAAAAACTTGGTTAATTATTGACAAACAAGTTGATGAAACAAGAATAACAGCAGTCTCGTTTAAAATCATCATTTCGTACGCTTTATGGTCGATACAATGACATTGTCAGTAAATACATTTTATTATTGAATCAAATGCTGACTGACGTTTTTTCATTCATACTAATCGTTAAGTTATTATTGATACACTGAATTGAAGACGGATTTTTTTGTTATTTTTCCGATCATGACAAGGAGCACACGGTGGTCGGCAGGGGATGCTCATTCCTCCATGGCATCTGATCCCACCTCTGATGTTAAGAGGTCCCTGTTTGCTCTGTATCTATTTTGTATTGTTTTATGGAATCTTGATGGTTAATACTGCTCGTTATCTCCATGTTTTATTCTGAAGAAAAAAAGCAGTTAATATTGCTGTAAAAAGTTGTTGACTGGAATGAATTTAAAAAAAATATTGTTTCCCGAAGGATAAAAAACTCTTGGTTCTTTTGAGACAATCAGTCAGGGCAAAAATCTTTATTAGATGACTTTTCTTGATATAATAAGTATGATATGGTCTAGACCTCATCTAGTAAATATTTTTGTGATATCGTAGACGTATAAGATGATATATATCTTGATAGTGTGTGCTCAGAGTTTACTGGTAAATAATCTAAATCAACATCTATAGCAGAAAGTCAATAAAGTGACTGATAAAGTACATGAGTGACTGGACTTTGTTATATGATATAGTATTAACATACCACAGTATGTAGTATTTTCAAATTAAATTTTCTCATGCGTTGGTTTTACCTTTATTGTCATACAGAATACATCAGTTACAAACCTATGACTGTCTGCATTATAAGCGACCCTCCCCAGAATATTCCTATTTCTTTGAGACTGAAATGCCATTCTTTCTTGACACCTTTAGGAGAGATGGTTGTTCCTATAAGGTCTGCAGACCCCCTTCTCTGGGATGTAACCCATATGGACACATCAAGGAGGTCAGTTTGGGTACAGGCGCTGTTTTTGCGGTCAGCTGTAAAAAACAATATAGAAGACCATGTTAGAATGCATTATGAAAGCTCAAAAGCTCATAAAAAAGAATTTTCAAGAGAAAGTATTATTCAAACAAAATACCTTCTAAAAGCTCTTTTTCAGAGAGAAAAAATTCTCATAAAAAAGACATTTATCAAGAGAAAGTATTCATTCATTTAAGGGTTAAACAAATCAAAATACCTTCTCAAACACAAAAAAGCTCGAGATTTTTTTCAGCCTAATTTAAAGATTATATATTGCAAAGAGTTATCAGAGAAAAAAATTAGAAATCATATATATTAATGTTATCTCTTCAAATAATCATTCAAAAATTCTTGTAAAACATCTTTATTCTCTTTGTGGTTTAAAACTTAAACTATGAACCGAGATACCAGTAGTTTTCAAAATTCACACCACCGGAATTACTGGGAATTTTTCTTTGATTAAACAATCCCTTGTTTTAAATTGTTAGTTTCATATACTAAAATGCCAAATTGACAAAGTAGTCCACGGATCTAAAAATTATCCTTTATTTTCTAATTTTTAATATATTTTTCTTCTGTATTTCCAAGAATCTACTTAAAGTCTCTTGACCTAAGTGTGTTCCTGGTTTTAACAAATTTTATGCATTTTATTTTGATTGCTTTTAATAACTCTAAATTTCACAAATGTTTTCTTCAATATCTTATTTCTCTCAAAAGTTTGATGAAAATTAATGTTTTTAAAAGTATTTCAACTATCACACATACATGTACAATACTATACATCAGTCTTTCCTGCATTATGCAGCATTTGCATGCATTCTTTAGAGATACAATTAGCATTTTCCATATTTACTTCATTTAGCATCTATCCTTAATATTGGAAAAAATCTAATCTGAAATTTTACTAAATTTTTTAAAGCAAATTATAAATTGTTTCAAACTGGAATCAGTGTACTTCAGTTAATGAAATTGTCAATTAATGCCATCAATATGTTTATTTAAACACTAAACATTTTTGACATGTACTATTGATATTCATAGTTTATCTTTTTGTCAATGCAAGCTTCCAGAAAAGCGCTAAGAGTAAATACATCTGAAGTGGCAGATTTGCATTTAACCTAACATTTCCTCTCTGAGTCTTAGCAATGAAAAGATTTAAATAAAACAGTCATTGAGAATGATCTTGAGAGATCAAGATAACAAACTATGAATGGGATTGTAGGGAAAATCCAATAGGAGGGAATCCACTATACTACCGTAAGCATGCATAAACCTAAGGAATTATTTCAGCAAATCTCCCTCAAAATTGAATTATTAAAAAAAAATTATGAAACATTGTCAAAATTTCTTTACTATGTATTGTATTAAATTTAATTTTTATTATCTAAAATCAATTAACAGACATTAAAAAGCGTTCCGGTATTCTTTTTAAGTAAAAAACTAAGTATTTAAATTTTTACAAATGTGTAAAATTTCGGAAATTTGCAAATTTTATTCTATATGATGTGTTTATTATTTTTTTTTACTAATTTTTTCAATCTTGAACCTTTCTAATTTACATTTATTTCTTTTGTGTAGATAAGCATATGTTTATTTTTGAAGTAGTGATGGATTAACAATAAGATATTAATTTCTTACCTATGTTCCGTCTCATGCTGTGGTGTACAACTGATAAAGATAATTGAAATGTCCTTTCTTGTTTATTTATGTCTCTCTTCATTTATCACACACTTCCCTCCCGTAGGAAGGCCCCCTTAGATAACGTGACATGTCTCCCTCCAAATCTAACAGTGACCAAAACAGACGTCATATATGTGTATGACTGCATAACTATGTTTTGCAACTTTCATAACTTTTCTACATTCAACACCGACTCAATCGTTAATTGCCTTTCTAAGAACTGTATTTCAGTTTAAAAAGAAATCAAAATTCTACAATTTATCATTGTTTTAACAGATTAATTAAACCATTTTTTTAAAAAAATGTTGATGTTAGTTCTAGAAAACTTTCTCTGACTATAAGAATTTTTTTCTTATAATTTAACGTCTAATATGCCTCCCACTCACCCCCCCCCCCCTCTACCCAAAAAATTCGATTATATCCGAAACATTTTCATCTTTAATATTTGAGTTGTTCCAATTTAAACCACCTTCAATTTAAAGTATTTGTCTCAAGAATTAAATAAAATTATTTCCAAAGGATGATAAATTGCATTAATATACATGTATACGTACCGTATAAGTAGAATTTTTAGCGAGGATTTAATTTTGGCATTATTAGCGAGGGTGCCGACATCGCTAAAAATTAATTGCGTATTATTTGTAATAGCTTCTTTAGTTAGCATGTTAAAATCGCTAAAATTACTTCTTGCTAAAAATAAAATACCAGATTTTAGGTAGAAATCGCTAAATTTGCGTCTCGCTTAAATTTCCACTTGTACGGTATTTTTAATCTTCTGTTCATACTTTAAAACATTGTCATAATGAATTATGATGTACAAGTTTGCATCATACAGAAACAATCTGTTTGTTAAACTTTCCATTATGAAGCACATGTTTCAGATCTTTTAGTTCAAGTTCATTGGGATATCGTGTCAATATATGGAGGTAACAATAGTTAATTGATAGTACTCGTTCATCGTCGATATATCTAAATGTCGAATTGAAGGCCACAGAAAGTGTTTTCTTCTTCTCATGTCTTTCTTCACACATGTACATTTTCGCTGAAAAATGGCTGTAGTATTTTCGAAGGGATCAATCAATCAATCTACATACATTTTTTATAGCTTAATCAGGAAGCTAATTCGTTGTAGTTAAATTTTTAAAAGATGTGAAAATGCAGAGAAATCACCTGATGTAGGCCTAGATCGACAAAATCTTAATTTTTCAGAGTACAATCTTCATTGTGAAGTACTTTTAAATTTCATAGAATTCTTAAAATACTTTGGAAGTAAAAAAAAGAGTGGTGAAAGAAAACAAAAAAGTAAATCGTGTGGGTGGTGTGTTTCTTTTCTTAATCCAAAAAAAACTTTGTTTCTACGATATTTTAATCGAATTATTGTATATAAACATTCTGATTGTACAAACAAGTACTCTGATTCAAAACATTAAAAAGATGTTTGGGTTTCTGATTGACAATATCTATGTGGTTTTTGGAGACCAGGTCTTCCAATAATCTATTGGTTTCCCGATGGTACCAATTGCGCTCCTTATCAACAGACCTTTTTTGTATTCATATGAAGCAGAATTTGTCCAAAATCGTATGCGTGAAGAGAAGAAAACACTTGCAGTTGCCTTCAGCTTGACATTTAGATAAATCGACGACGTATTTTTAATTTATAATGCTTATTTCCATTCTTATGTCGATACGATATATCCCATTGAGCTTGAAATAAAAGATACCACATAGTCTGACACATATGTTTCATATATAGATATTTTACTTGAAAAAGACGGTAATGGTAATATAACAACCATGCTTTTTGACAAACGAGATTACTTTAACTTTTCAATCGACAACTCCCTACTTATGCACCTTTATCAACTGCATATGGAGTTTATATATGTCAGTTGATTCGATACACAAGAGAATGCTTTACGTATTTACAAATAAACAATTTTTAAAACGATGTATGTTATTGACAAACAAGTTTCTGAAACAAGAATATCAGTAGTCTTGTTTAAAGTCATCGTTTCGTAAGTTAGATGGTAGATACAAAGACCTTGTTTGCAAATGCCGTTTATCATTGAGTCAAATGCTGACTGACGTTTCCATACTAATTGTTAGGCTATTATACACATTAAATTGTCGACGGATTTTCCCGTTATTTCCCAGTAATGACGAGGAGCATTCGGCGGGTGTGATCGGTCGACAGGGAATGATCACTCCTTAATGGCACCTGATCCCACCTCTGATGTTTTGGAGGGTTTTGTTTGCTCAGCTTCTATTTTGTATTGTTAAATGGACTTTTGAGTTTGAATATTAATCGTTATCTCCATATATTTCATGTCATACTTAAATCATTTAGTTGTTACATGTATTATGGGGTTTTTTTTTTGTACTCTTAAATATTATTCAGTCTAATAAAGAGCCATTTAACCGATTTCTGTTGATAAGATATAGCTCAAGTTTTATGTGTTTTAAACAAAACGACTGTGTCAGAGAAACGGGGACACTGATTAACTTAAGTTGTCCATTAACTCTGAGCCAATAATCCAAGACAAACTCTAGTTAACAAAACTATAACATTCCTGGGGGTATGTCATAGAATATTTTGCAGTTTTTCAAGTGCCTTAAGAAAAGCCAGTTCTAAATGAATCAAGTACTCGAGGACTCAAAACACAGAGCACGCTAGCCCCAAACAAAAATTTTCTATAGTTAACTATAGTTTACTTTGTTAACATTAGTAAAAACTTTGATAGTTTAATTTACAAAGGAACTTTACATTAGAACTTTTTCTAATAAACTTTTTTTGAGATTTCAAGGCATAAAACCTCTTAATTTCTATAACAATGGTGGAAGTTTTTTTAAATGATATGTGAATATACCAGTTTTAGTTCCAATTAATGAAAAGTATTCATATATGAATTTGGGAACATAAAATACAACAATCTGAACTCTACTGTAAGCATTCCGATACTATATTAACTAAACTTTAGCATAAACATAATATAAGTCGCCCAAAAACTTGCATTTCATGATAATGTTTGTTAATGGAAATGAGTAATGAGGATTTGTTGTCGCCTAAAAATTCAATTGGTTTTTTAAGTAGTTTTTCGTTTTCATGGAAATATGTTGTTGTTTTTTTTTAAATAATCATTTATGATCCAAGACTAAATCCAGGGCCATATGAGGCAAAGAAATAAAATTTATATGATAAGTAAATTCCTATTTACATTTATCACAGAAATGAATCAATTAATCATTGCATATGTTCAGTAAGAGGCACGATACTTAGTATGTAACAGGATATTTTCTTATGCAAATCGTTGATTCCAGTTCATACCACATCCTTGTATATGCAGAAAGCCCCAATTTGAAATAATTTACACCAAAAATGGATGCTTACTGTACACCAAAGTAGGATACTTCGGAAATTGTTAAAAGCTCTGACCCACTCTATGACTCATCCTACCTAAAGACAAAAAGAACAAGAAGTATTGTGAGCAATTAGCTCACTAAATAATACCCCGTCTCCCATATGGTTATAATGGCAAAGTGCATGTTTTGCTCTGGGAGACCCGAAATAAATATCAGATCAATAAGTAAAATAGGAGATGCTCAATGGCATTATGTAATAAAGAATCTGTGAAAGCATCATTAAATTTTGATTCAGTGGTATATAGGAGGAGTTGCGGATAAGAGATTGGTACCCTTTAATAATTTAGAAAGAATTGTCATACCCGTGTTTTGCTCTCGGAAACCCAAATATGTGTAGGATCAAAAAGTAAATTGGAGGTCACAATGGCAATATATAATAAAGATTCTGTGAAAGTCTCATCAAATTTCCTTCAGCGGTATGAGAGAAGTTGCGGATAAGAGATGGGTGGGTACCCCAAAGCGTAACAGACGGACGGACAGACAGACGGACATCCTGATTACTATATACCCTCCCACTTTTCAAGCGGGGGGTATAATAACCAAAATCAATAACCTTAAAACGTTCCATTTTTTGCACATTTTATACAACAATTCCAAAGATTAATAAAGTTCAGACTTTTTGACATTATAGACAGCTGCCTTTTTAAGAAATGGTTATCGTACTAACCTTGTCTTTAGTCGTTTGCCGAATTATTTAGTTTTTTAAAAAGTGATTGTTTGCACAAGAAAGCCGAAGTAAAGATGCGTTAGTTTTTGACTGACAATATATTTGTAAGGTTTGAAGATCAAATCTTACAACAATCTGTCGGAATTTTCTAAAGGTGCAAATTCTGAACCGTTATTACAGAATTATTTTGTATTCATATGTAGCAATTTGAAATCCCAAGATTTTAACAAATCAACAGTTTAAAAACTTACGAGTTTTTAACTTTATACACAACCATTACCCACGATAAATTAAAGTCCAGGCTTTTTGATATCATTGACAGCTGCTTTATCAATAAAAATAGAACTCGTAAATTTATTTAACTTGTCATTGGTCATTTGTAAAAATATTTTGTTAAAAAACACACAAGTACTCTGAAGTTGGCATCAAAAAGATGCTTAAGTTTCTGATTGACAATACTGTATACAAGGAAATTTTCGCCCATGTTTTATTTTCACCACTTTCGCCCTCTTCTTCTTTGGGCGAATTTAAAACGGGGCGAATTCAAAGAAGACACTATTATTTCTTTAACATAGCTATGACTGGGCGAATTTAAAACGGGGCAAAGTTGTTAGCAAGTATGAAAGGGAGAAAATAACAGGGGGCGAAAATAACCCTGTATACAGTATGTTTATGTTGTTTTTGGATAACAGGTCTTCCGAAATCTATTTGTATTCCCATGAGTACCAACTGCTGTTATTAGCAGACCTATTTTTGTATTCATATGAAGTAGAATTTGTCAAAAATTTTATGTGTGAAAAGAAAAAAAAACACTTGTTGTGGCCTTCAACTCGATATTTAGATACCCCGGTAGATCGACTACGTATTGTTAATTAACAATGGTAATTTCCATTCTTATCGATACGATATACCCTGGTGAGCTTGAGATAAAATATACCAGAAATGCTGACACATCTGTTTCATGCTAGTATTTGGATATTTAATTGAAAAAAGACGTTAATGGTAATCTAACAACCAAGCTCTATGATAAACGTGATGACTTTAACTTTACAATCGTCAACTTCCCTTACTTATGCAGTAATATACCTTCAGCATCAGCATACGAAGTTTATATGTCTCAGTTGATTCGATAAGCAAGAGCATGTTCTACTTATGAACAATTTCTAAAACGAGGCTAATTATTTACAAACAAGTTGATGATACAGAAATTTCAGCAGTCTCGTTTAAAGTCATCGTTTCGTAAGTTCTATGGTCGATACAATGACCTTGTCAGCAATACAATTTATGACTGAGGCAAATACTGACTGACGTTTTTTATACTCATTGTTAATCCGTTATTTAAGGTGCGGTCACACGATGCGATTTTTCATCCGATTTTCATTCGACTTTAGCAAGAAATGAACAGGTAGTTGTTATTATTTTTTTTAATGGAAAAAAATATTCTGTACAGAGACATGTCTTTGTTCTGTTAAATTATAATTAAAAAATTCCCCTTAAGTTAATATTACGTCATTTTACCCCATTATGACGTTGATTTTGACGTTGTTTACACGGTACACGTGTCAGTGATCACTCAAAACTAGATGATCGAAGTTTATTACTTTCTACTGGTCTACTTCGGCAAAAAAAGTCTGCACTTTATTTTGGTCTAGCAACAAAGTTGAAATGATATGCATATCACAAAAGTTAACTTTGTTTGATAGGCCAGTCGTTGACGAAAATAGTATAAGTGAATATCAGTGCAAGAAACAGTTTTTCAGACGCTCAGGCTCTGCAAGAGTTGATAAAACCGGAACAACATTTTTTTTGTAGCTAATCAAAGGATAGACTATTTTCTTTATTTTATAGATAAAAAATAAGATTAAAAAAAATAAATTCTACCGATAGTATGTAAATTAAATAATTATTAAAAATGTTTAAGGAAATTACTGCCGATTATTAAGGAAAAATATTGTGTAAGAGAAACACCAGTTCCCTTTTCCCTCCCAAATCATTGGCATCGGAAGCAAATTGAAAGGGGGAGCTAAGTGAAAGAGGAAAAAACTTACAAAAAAACTTGACAAGCAACAAACACGAAAATCTTGGGGGTGGGGGGTGGGGGGTTCGAACTTCTTTCAGTACCAAATTTTGTTACAAACACTAGGTCTACCACTTACTCTTTTTTGGTCTAAACTAAAACTTGCCTCTGGAAGAGGGGGGAGGTCTAAAACTACGCCCCAATGTTCAATTCCTATATTATGTCTATCTTTGCAAAAGAAAATGGGGGGGGGGGCTCCCCCGGGTCCGACGCCTATGCAAATAATACGATCAAACAGTTTACTGTACATGTAATACATTGTATTCGCATGTATTCTAATTAGCGTTCGCCACTAGATTAGTAACTTACTGTATTTGAGATTTATAGAATTAACTTGTTAATTTATCTAAAACTGTAAACTTTCATTTTTTAGAATTTCAGGTACAGCATGAAGTTGTCGCTCGTGATTTCTACCATATAATTGCTACGTTTTGTAGATACCGGTTGTAATTTATATCGACATAAAAAATGCGTGGAAGACCTTAATTTTAATCAAATTTAAGCCATATTTTTTGATCATGTTCATGACTTGAGTGAAGTTAAATCTATTAAATTCACTTTCTTAAATAACCAAAAAAATATTTTTGATAAATCATTTACATGAATGGCATAATATAGATCTAGAGATGAATCTCCGTGCTCGCAAACTAATGTATGGTTGAAGTTAGAATACATGATTTATTTGATATACTATTATTTTTCTTTTCTACATAATGACTTTTGGTTTCGGCGTTTTCTTTTTAATTCATTACACAGGCGCATGTATGTATAAAAAGTTAAAAACTGTTATTTTATAGACCTATTCTGCATTTTTTTATTTCGTGTCGCGGGAAATGTCATTGTGACGTCACGATTTTCTTGGGAAGTCGATTGAAAATCTGACGCCCATCCGATTTCCAATCGACTTTCAGATTCTGCTTTCGACTTTCGACTTTCGACTTGGGTGGTCACACGGTACGATTTTAGTCGAAAGCAAATCGATTGGAAAAAACGGATGGAAAATCGGATGAAAAATCGCATCGTGTGACCGCACCTTTATACACTGAATTGACGGATTTTCCGTTATTTCCCGATCATGACAAGGATCACATGGCGGGTGTGACCGGTCGGCAGGGGATGCTGACTCATCCATGACACCTGATCTTACCTCTGATGTTTTGGAGGTCCGTGTTTGCTCTGCTCCTAATCTTTGGATTTCTGTCCGTTATAATTCTCACGAATACTTATTGCCCATTTATAAGCAGATCTTTTTAATAGGTCAACAACTAAACTTTGAAAAAGCCTATGACTTCATTCTTTTTACCTTTCACTTTCCTTATTTTTAAACTATGGTTTATCCCTCCATGGTACTATCTCACATCTGTTTTCAAAGGTCTGTGTTGGCATTGCTATAAGCTTTTGTGTTGTCTACTTTTCAGAATGATCACTGTTCGTTTTCTTTACATGTCATGTACACGTAGCAATATACAATTATCATCTGCAAAAGGGTTTTATCTCTCTGAGTTGATGATATAGACAAGAGCGTATTCTACATAGGAAAATTTTTGAATAGTGGCATGAATTTGTTGATGATACAAGTATAAACAATCTCTCATAAACATTTCAAAAATTCTATGGTCAATAAAATGACAGTGTTTGGAAATTCACCCTGTCGTTATTTGAATATTACCTTACATTATTCACACAAATTTTCAAAACATGTTGTCTTCTTTCTGCAGATTAAATGCTGTACCTGATCAATACGAAGACTCAGGTCACGTGTGACCAGTCTTCGAGGGGATATTTACGCCTCCAGTGCACCTGATCCCACTTTGTCGAACTCATATCCGTTTAATACTTTTTGCTTGGAGAGAACTCGAGTCAAATTTGTAAATAATCAATAGCAATTTTAAAATTAATTATTACATTTACAAATAATTAATTACATTTATAATCATCATAATCAGAAAATTATTTATTTTCAAATTTCACAACATTATCATTTAAAGATTACGATAAAGCATGCATATTTTTCGATCGCTTGAGAGTACTTGTTCGATTTTTGGAGTTAGTAGAGCAGAAAGATTTGCTTGTCAGTCTTAAATTCTTCTGATAATGTAAAAGGTCGAAATTGACAACCCCAAAATCTATTTATTCAAACGAAGATTAAATGTATCCTGGGAACTTTGCTATATAAAGCATGTTATTTAGTTCGTTCTTGATGCATTTTTCTGTTGGTAAAATCGTATCTGGAAAACTAGTTCATTTCTTAACTAACTGGGTTACCTAATAGTGCAGCGTTATCCTTTATCTTTCTAGACCTAGTAGCAATAAAATCAGCAGGTAAATTATGTAACATGTAACATATGCAAATTAAAGTCCAAATACTAGTACTAGTCACTACCACTGTTGTGTTGTGCACTTTTAGTCTGATAGAACTTTGCTAAGCCTTCCTTTGCTACATGTGAGCGTTTTGTACCTCAAAGCAACCTTGCCCTACAGTACTGTTCTAATTGACGATTGCAATGCACTATCTTGAATTCATGACGTAAATTATTTGTTAACCTTTATTAGTTAAGATACTGTAATATAACATATTTTCAAGGGGTCAAATTTTCGTGGTTTGAGGAAAAAGTCTTGGTTGGTGGGGATTTGATTGGGAATCTGCGTATTTCTTAGTGCAGTATTTTAAGTCCATTATGTATTGACAAAAAAACACATTCTACTGCAATTCATAGATATTACTTGTCAGCAAATACAAAATAACTAATAACTAAGTAGAAGTTGATTGAGGGTTTCAAACAAAATGTAAGGTCATTACATAAACACTGAACTGTCTACGAATTTTTCCGTTTGTCAGATCTTGACTAGGAACACATCGCAGAGCTGACCAGTAGAGAGGAGATACTTGCTTTTCCATGGCACCTGATCCCATCTGTGATGTTTTTGGAGTGCCGTTTACTCTACTCCTGTGGTGTACTTAATTACAACCACATTCTACTGCAATTCATAGCTTTCTTGTTTAATATATTTTGGAGGTCATTATGAGCAGGGGGGTCAATTTTCTCTGTAATGCTAACAATGTCAGACATTTAACCTATTACGAAAACAATCCTCATCAACATCGTTCACGTATTTACTCGCGTATTGACATAATCAGCCTTTTGTTTACCAGTAAACAATTGATAAGATAAGTCCGCGGCTGATACTGAAAAGGTTGAACAAGTGACGAGTCATTTACACTGAACACGTTTGTATTTGATTTTCTGTGCTAAATAAACAGATGCTACATGACATATCGGACTACCTCTTATTCATGTAAATTGTACATCAACTGAAATTATCAAAAATAAATTGTAGGGTGGAGGTCTAACTTACTGCGTTTATGTAATTTAGACACCTATTGCTTGAGACCTTTTCTTCTGAATAATAGAGAAATCGATAGAAACTGAAGACAATATATTTATCATTATTCTCTTTGTGTGTATCTGTGTGTGTTTAATAACTTTAAAAACAAAGTTTGTGATAATTAAGTGAATTCAAAACTTTATTCGCAAGACATGGCAAAATATACATATATTGCACAAAACAGGGAGTATACAGGAGATATAAAAGTGTAACATTCTCACAGTAACAGTATAAAATAATAGTTAATGGAAAAGCGTACTTGATGTGGCAAACATTCCAAATGTAATATATATGTACTTATTTTATTTCCAAATTAGTGTAAATGCATGTCTTGTTTTACTGCATGTAAATCACTTTTTATTTTATGAGAAGTTTATATTTGAAATATTATACGAGACGATCTGTTTGCAAAAAAATTGCAATCTCATATACATTTTGTAATATTATCAACAAAATTCAAAATCAATTTTTTTTAACCTTAAATAAATACAAAATTACCATTTTAAAAACATCAGGTATCTCAAAAACATTAGATGTCCCAGACTTTGTGTTGATCCACTGTTATCTGCAGCAACCAAGCATGACCTCTTAAGTACATATACATTGCGAGACATGGTATATTGTTATCACATCAGGCCTCAGGATCATGAAACAGACCAAGACTTATGTCAAATTTTCAACAGCCTGTGAAATATTTCTTAATTGATAAAATAATCTCAAAATTTGCAGATTTCAAAAAATTTTGCTAAAGCAATATTGATAAAAATTTTAATTTTTGTTTGTTTGACTTCTTCAACATTTTAGTATAATATAAAAATTTTGACTTAAGCTTCAGATGTTTTATGATTCTGGTGCCAGATGTTATCAGTATTCACAAACTTACACTATTAGTCCAAAAACATGTTTATCATAAATAAATTGTTAGTATCAAAAGAAGAAAAACAAATTAGACAAATATCAAGGAAAAGTCCTTCTTACCAGGGATATGGAATGTACATTAACAAGTATCAATAAGATTAAATATACGACAAAACTCTATCAACCTTCAGGATATAGTAACAAAGTAACAAGTATGGATTTCTGATCACTACGAGTATTTTAAAAAGTTTTATGCAAAATTCATGAAATAAAATTGCATCCTCTGAAAGCAAGATGTACCTCCATGGATACAACATCTAAAGAGCTTATTCCCAATCATATGTATTGATTCAGAAATAATTTTAAAATCTTCATTTAGTAACATTTACTAACAGGAGTGAATTTTAAAAGTCAATAAAGACATACCAAACTTCAGAGCTTTTGCTGGAGCTCTTAGGTAAAGGAGTACTAAAAAGTCCCCAAGTGAAACGGGGGAAATACCATCAATAAACAACTTTACACTATAGATTTTAATTTAGTTTAAAAAGATAAAGTATAATCAGCAAATGTAAACTAGAGTATTATAAACAAATATATTTCAAAATTATGCCTATGATTGTCTGTGCATAAATATTTTCAAAAATGTAATGCAGATTGATTTACCAGCACCCCTTATACATACACCACTACATCCCCTTTGGAAAACAAGGGATATACTTGAAAAGGGGCACTAGATTTCAAATCCTAACTCAACCTCCAGTGTACTCTTGTAATTAAAAAATTATATTCTTACTTATTGTACTGAAAAATATATCTTCAATCAGAAATAAATAACCATATTCACGGTATATATACACCATTGACTCACAACCTTTTACATGTAACTTAATAATTAATTCTTATACTGTAAATAAATCTTTAAAAAATAACAAAAACTTTGGCACATATCTACCCTGAAATATCTTCTTCTTGTTTTACCATTAATAGACAATTTATCAACATCTTAAAATCTGTTATCCTTTTCATGATACAAGCTAACAGTAAAACCGTATGTAACCAGCCATTGGTAATCAAAAGTTGAACCAGAGAAAGTTCAGACTGGAGAAATTTTCAGAAAAAATAAGCAATATTCTTAGATTGAAATATTTTGCCAGAATGCTTAACTGCACCAATTAAGATTTAGTGCAATACATTTTTTGTTACAAATTAGATACTGGAATATAATTCCTTTATATTAAAATACATCTATTAGAGTTATAAGCACTATCTAAATGCCTCAGAATTAGTAACACACACATCAAAACCTGTAGTAAAAAAAGTTGTTCAATTCTTTCTTCTCCAGTTTCTCATACAACATGGTTAGTTTCGTCGTCATCACCCTGCAGAAGGTCATTCAGCTCCAAGGTCGGCCTCCTTTTCATTTTCTCCTCCAGCCTCTCTTCCATGTAGAATCCCATCAGATCCTTCCTTGTGATGATGCCCTTGACCCCATTCATGCTGTCCACGACCGTCAAGTGTCGTAATCCGAGAGTTCGGAAAATTATGTACGTTCTCTGTAGTGAGAACTTCTCCTGGATCGATAAGGCTGACTGGTTTGTAAATCGTTGCTGTAACAACAGAAATATACAAATTAAAATTTAGGGCAAAATAAATTTTACACAGTTTATTTGTACTTCCTTTTTACCGAGTATTCAAAATCAATAAAATTTAGGAACATGTATGAGGTAACAAGAGAAAATTACATAATCTTTAAATTTTTGATAATTTTTTTGTAATTTCATTATTTCATTACATGTATTAATGAAACCATAAATTTCCATTAAAAAAATGTTCAACATTAAATATGGCTTTTATTGAGTTGTCCGTAAAATAACATGTAATACATACAATATGCCAGAAAAATATGTAAAAGATGTCATACAAACATACTGACCAGGTCAATGTAGAGTTTGCTATAGCGAGCATCGGTGACATACTTCTGTAGCATCAAGGAGGTATCATGAGGGTCTACCAGTTTGTGGATATGCAACTAAAAAACAAAGGAATATTAATATCACCAGAACGTTAGTCACAACGTACTAGCCAATTTTCTTTAAAGCTGCTTATAAATTTCAAACAAGAGGCCCAAGAGCTTCACAGTCACCTGGGTAGGAAATAGCTTTAGGTTTGTAAAGATCCATTGAATAATTATTGAGCTAATGGTGTTATCAAAGGAAACATTTAACACTTTTTATGTAATTGTATTTTTGATAAGAATTTTTACTTTCAAATTTTTTAACCTTGGTTAAGTTACACAATAATTTTAAAGATCATTTTAAAGACATCACATACTTTGTCATATTCCACCCAGGATGGTCCATCATCATTTAGAGTTTCCTCTGTGTCATTCTCTGATTTAAATAAACAGTCTGTCTTCAAGAGAACTATGATCTCCATCCTACCAAAAATCGGTTTAAATTACTTAACTTTCCCTCAGCATTTGTGTAAAAAAGGAGACAAAATCCTACCAAAAAATCAATTTATATTACTAAACTTTTTCTTTGCATTTGAGTTAAAAAGGAGACAAAATGAGCTAAAATTTCTCTTTCAAGTACACAAGAAACATAAAAATTTATGTCTTTGATATTTGTAAAACAAAATAAATACTCTACTGTTAAATACCTGGTTATTGTTCCGAAGAAGCTCTCACTGCCGTTCTCAGTTTTCTGGATGACAGGGAATCCCCCGTGGGTGGTGTTCAGTATGAGGGTGGAGAGAACCGAGACCGACTCCCGGGTCTGTACCGTGATCACCGGGGATGACATGATGTCACCGGCCGCAAACAGGTCAAGGTTCAGTCTAAAAGTAGGTCAAGTTCGATAGAATGATGTCATTGATCAGAGCTAGCATAAAGAGCATGGCATTTTAAATAAAGTGCCCCGCCACAGCATGATACGCCCGTCAAATAATGTTCAATAATCATAAATTGGTTGGGGTGCAAGAAAATCAAGTAACCTTGATTAACAGATTGACACAGATTTCAATGATCTAATTTTCCATTTCTTATCAATTTTAAAATATTGTACATACATCTCTAAGAGACTTACAGTGTAGGGATTAATTATAACAAATAATACATCATATAATTCTAAACTGGCTGAGTTAGAGCTTAACAAATATCCATCTGCAGCTTTAACTTATTTATTGCATATCTTATGAAATAATGGAAATGCTACAGTCTACATGGTCTAATAAAAAAAAAATCAAAAATGAATTATTCTTTAGACTATAAAATTCTAAGTGAGACATGACTGCACTTTGTTGCAAATATATGAAATGTATTTTTTTTTCCAATGAACACATGTATAATTAGTTTTAATTATATTATACAATACTAATTTAGTTTTAGTGATACACTAAAACATCAATTTGTTTTAATTACATTACATCAATTGAAAGATGTTTATCTGGACTATAGCCATCAAGAACTCTTAATTAACACAAGCAACTATGAGGCCATTTCTTTTTGCCCAACTCCCAAGAGATAAATTAAGATAACAGCTCCATGATTAGATCTAGAGCTGCTCTTGTCAGTTAGCTCCCGACAATAAACTCATTAATTTCTCTCTAATTTGACATGCACATTTCTGCTATCAAAATTTTCCTTGACCAGTGCTTGATAATTATGCCCATGGGACAAACTGAATTCCTCTCAAAACATTAACATTTGTTACAGATATCTGTAACGTATATGATGAAAAAATAAGTTTTTACTTATATAAATTTAACATTTTTTAACAAGGATACAACTATATTTTTACATTTTTTAGTATTATGAAATTTAAAATTTAAAAGACTTAGTTTTTTGAAAAAATCACTTAAATTAAAGGTCAAAGTGACCTTGAAATAGGCCGCGACACACCTTCTACTTTAGATGTATACTTTTGCCAAGTTTGAAAGCTCTAGGTCTAATAGTTTTCTAGTTATGAGCCGGGCAGGATTTTTCCATATTTGGCTATAGCATCTTTATTAAAGGTAAAAATTCTGTGCACGACACACCGTCTAATCAAAATATCAGTTGACAAAGTTTGATAATCCTAGGCCTAATAGTATTCAAGTTATGAGCCGGACACGAATGGACAGACGGACGGACGGATGGACGGACGGATGGACGGACGGACGGACATGAAGCCTATCACATAATACGTCCCGTCTTAAGACGGGCGTATAAAAATCTTTATACTCACTGAGCGTTGTCTATCCTAACCCTAGGTTCAGGATCCAGTAATGGTATACACTTCAGTTCCAGTAGGGCATGGTAGATAGGGTGAGTAAAGAAATCCCCAACCCACTTGGCCACCATTACAGACACCATTACAGGCAGGAGAATCTGCACATCATTGGTCAGCTCCATCTATAAAATGGTGGTAAAGGCACCTGATAATCTTAGAATCAGGATAAAATTCGCCATTAATGTGGCATTGGAAATTTTGTTTTCACTATTTTGATTATTAAAAAATTTGAATTTTTCTTATTACCATGATAACAGTGACAGCCAAGGCCAGCCTGGTGACCCCTCCAAAGAATGACGCCGCCCCAATCAGTGAGAAAACCCCCGGGTCCATCCAGGCCCAGTACCCAAAGTCTTCACTGTGTACCCCAAACATGGAGGTCATCAAGAGCCCCACTGCTCGCCCATAGAGACCACCCACCAAACTGTCATTTAAACATATACAGAGGATATAATTAACAGTAATTGTTCAAGCTACAACATGTACTTTCTTCCTTTAAACAGAATGAGCATAGTGTAAATAAGACAGGTCTGTACAAAGACTGATGCTCCACTTACAGCATGGGTACGAGAGCGCCGCTAGCCACAGAGGTTCCGGTCGCCCAGCAGATCAGCAGGAAGTAGATAACCAGCATAGTCAGCAGAGAACCAAACCCAAACTGTAAGTGTGTGTCCCGGGAAAACAGGCGCTTCACCGCATTCTCCAGGGTCCCAAACATCAAGGTAGCCACTAACAAAAGATCAAATAACTACATGTACTCTCAATCCTGCTGCAAGTTATTGAAATGTAGTTTTATTATAAATAATTTATGGTTACTTATTTTCTAAATAAATACTATTGTAGTTGTTCATGGTTACTTACTTTATTAGTACTGTACTTTTTAGTTAGTGGTCACTTACTCTCATTATAAGTACTGTTGGTGTTTGGAGTTTATGGTTACTTACTTTCATTTTAAGTACTGTTGGTGTCTGTAGTTTGTAATTACTTACTTTCATTATAAGTACTGTTGGTGTCTGTAGTTTGTGGTTACTTACTTTCATTATAAGTACTGTTGGTGTCTGTAGTTTGTAATTACTTACTTTCATTATAAGTACTGTTGGTGTCTGGAGTTTGTAATTACTTACTTTCATTATAAGTACTGTTGGTGTACACAGTCGTATTGGTCATTCCAGTTATGCCCCCTTTCTTACAGTTGTATGTTTCTACTGTGGCCTCAACATGTAGTGGGTTCCTTGTGTCATTCATGCAGTTCACGCTGTAAAGAAAATATTTCAATGAATTTGACTTAACGTGGAGAATAAATCTCAGAATATGAACTTGTTATCTGAAAATGTCCTCTGCAATTCCACTGATGGTGTCTCTCAGTAAATGCCATGGTAGCTCAGTTGGTAGAGCGTTGTCTCCACGATCCAAAGGTAGTGAGTTCAAATCTTAGCTGTGACTGACTTAATAGATATTAAAAAACGTAGCAGCCATTTCTTCACCAAGTGTTCAGCCGTGGATCTTTCAGATGACATTGAAAGAACCAGAAGTCTCTGTCAAGACTGTAGCGCTACTGGTTTGTACTTATAATAAAGGAAGAGAAAAGTAGCAGTTGGGACTTTAAACTTTACAAAAGCAATAAACAGAATAATGATCCTTGATTAAGTCTCTTTTTGTGGCAAGATTGAAATAAGACTTCAACTGGAGTATATTTTAATAAAATTTTACAGAATTTTCAATTTTAGTTACCATGGCAACACCGTTCATCAAAATCAAGAACACAAAACGGATAATTATGTATCTCAATGTAGTCTACTTGTGTGATGAATTATATTATATTCAGACTAAAACTGTATTTGTGGTAGCATTTTGAAAGTATTTCACAGAAAATACTATTTTTGGTAACCATGGCAACACCTTTCAACGAAATCAAAAACCGATCCACAGGATTATGTATCTTAGTGTAGTCTACTTGTGTGCCAAGTTATATCAAAATCAGACCAAAACTGTAAGAGGTGTAGCATTTTAAAAGTATATCACAGAAATTTCTAATTTTAGTATCATTCGGATATACAGAAATTCTACTTGTGTGCCAAGTTATATTGAAATCAAACCAACACAGTAGCATTTTAAAAGTATTTCACAGAAATTTCTATTTTTATTGCAACACCATAAATCAAAAACGGATAAACAGAGTTATGTATCTTAGTGTAGTCTACTTGTGTGCCAAGTTATATTGAAATCAAACCAAAACTGTAAGAGGAGTAGCATTTTGAAAAATTGTTTACAGACAGACAGGTAAGACAGACGGACGGATGAGGGACACATAACTATCGCATAAGCTCTTCTGGTCTCTGACCAGTAGAGCTAACAAGCAAGCAGACATTCATCTTGGCCAGATATGGCCATTTCAATCTTAATGCACATTTTAAAACTCTGTTGGATATTACATTTAAAGATATTATGAAGGGAGCATATTAGAAATGAAAAAAATTGAATAAATCAGAGCCTACCTGACATCTCCACTGACCCCCTCTATACAGGTGAACTTAGTACAACCAAAGGCTTGTGGGAGGTACACCGAGAGAATGGTAACGATAATCTACAAAAATTACACCATTGAAAATATAATAAAATCAATAATAATGCAGAAACATACATGTACTGTAGACATACTTTTTCTACATGGGATTAATTAAAGTGATCACAAGTTTTCCCTAAAAATTTGTTACCGCACTTTTTAAGTGTATAAAAGACTTTACAAAGGCAATCCAAGTAATCAGTGAAATTTTTCTACCTGTGGATTAAACAGATATTGTGATTCAGCAGAATTATGATCTCTTAGAAATAAGTAGGTACATGTATTACAAACTTAGGTATAGTTGCCACTTACTATTATTATTGCAGGCTCAAATATCCTCAATAGTTTCTGAAGCCATTCACTTTTGATGTTAGCTAGAAGTCGCTTTCTGCTGCGGGTCATCTTTAAATGGAGGATAGTGAATACAGCCCCCAGGAGGCCTCCGATTAGTCCAATAATAATTGTAGGAATGAACATCAGAATGTTCACATCTATACCTCTCTCAACCTAATAATTATATATTCAGTCACATATTATAAATATATTCAAAATATAATCCTACCCATACATCTCATTATGTTTGAAAAGTAAATTCATGTACTAGAAAGTAGACGTTCACAATACATGCAAATTTTTGGCTCAAAAGTTCTGAAGTGCCCCAAGCACATTATGTTTTTTTTTTTTATTTTCATAAAAAATAAGCAACTACTTACATAATTATAATTATTATCATTTATGATTTTTTGTGAAATGTTAAAGCAAAAAAAGTTTCAATTGTTTCAAGCAGATTATTAAAAAATATATAGGTACTTACATTAAAGAGAATGTATCTAGTTGTCTTAAACTGTCCAAATCCCCCTGTATACTTGAATCCATCAAAAGCCGAATTAAAGAGATCAGTTGTAAAGGTGGAGATCATGCAGCAGAAGAAAATTTGCCAGGAGAGAGTTGTGGTCCAAAATGATGATACCTCCTCCATAGAAAACAAGAGGCCCCCCACAGGGGAGCCGAAGGCAGAGGCCACCCCAGCCGCAGCTCCAGCAGATATAAAGTTACGTCTACAGGGAATTAACAAATAGTTTATTTTTTGTAATATAAAGAGATCATAAATGGAGTTTGTTTTACATATAAGTCAAAATAAGAAGAATCATGATACTAGACCTGTCCTCTGAAGTTCTAAATCTTTGAAAGATGGGAAGATTGATTTTGAGTGTCTCCGACTGAAACTGGCTTAGCCCAGCTCCAACAAGTGCTCTGAAAAAATGAAAATTTAGTTTCCACCTTTAACATCAATGAAATACTTGAAACCATGTTAATGCTGTGATTTTAGACCTCAAATATTATTAAAACAGTTAATGAACAACTACACTTGAGACATTAACAAAGTTGAAGGATTGAAATTTGTGAGAGAATTTCTTACCCCATATGAATCATTGGTCCCTCCGGTCCTACTGGTAGACCACACCCTACAGCTGCCAGACAGGAGAAGAACTTTACAGCCAATGTCTTCACATTAAATATATGCCTTACCATGGTCCCATTCAGAAAGCCAGTGACTTCAGGGATCCCTGAACCTCCAGCACTGGGTCGTAAAAACTGCAACAAAAGGGGGACAACTCCATAATTGACTTATTTCTTTAACTCAGTGGTAATCAAAAATGTACATCTGGTAGGCATTGTATTTTTTACTTACCACTACTATAAATGAGCTAAATATGATGAAAACAAGGCTGTATGCAGTGGCTACAACACAAGCCAGTCCAAAATCATTGTCCTGTTAAAAAATAATGAATTGTAATTAACAGCCAGTGCCAATAGTATCATTAAAAGAATGACCAATTTTAATGACAAGGACTTATATTTAAACACAATAAATGATTACATACATATATCATTTGATAAGCAATAATTTGTGTAACTTTTTGGGTATGCTGTGTAATTTTTTTTTATACTTACATCTATAAACTGGCGGGTCAGGTGCCATTTTAAATGAGCAATTTCTTCTATCAAATCATGAAGCAGGAAACCAATCATTCCCACAAAGAAACCAATCAATCCCATAATTACCCATCTCCCCAAGTTATACCTACAAAACATAAACAAAGAAACCAACCAATCAAGTTTACCATGATAGTCTTAGATTCCTGGGTAAAACTTTGACCCCACTAATCCTATTTCAGGATTTGATTTGAACAAACCTGAATCTTCACAATATGAAAATGCTTGTTGCAAAATGAATTTAAATTATGATGACCCTGCAATACTTGAAATTATTTGAAAAATTCAGGTATTTCACCATTAAAACTTCAATTTCAGCCCAACCCTTGCCCCTGGGGATCATTTTTTAAAAATAAATGCGACATTTATGGACATTTCCTTTCAGTTTTATCTTTTCACACACAGTGTTCCATGAAAAAAAAATTTCATGGATTCTACTCATTAATCTCTCCCGAAAATAGTGCATTACTGCTTAATGAGAAAAGGAAAAGGTCTGGTGGAAGTAAACATATAAAGAATCACAGAAATGAAATAAAATTTTATCAGAAATGCTGAACATCCTTTGGCTAAAGTAGACTATAAAGGTAAATCATTTTCAAGGTTTGGATATCAGTGATGCAATAGTATATTTGTTTTTAAAATAATATTAGAGGCACAAAACTCCTTACCCTAAGGGACCCTGATTTTTCAGCCATCTTTTGTAGATTTCACTGTGTGGAGGGAGATAATCCACACTTTCAAAGGAGCTCAGAGTTCTCTGCTCTTCTTTAGTGTACTTGTGGGTCACATATACTGGCTCATAGTCTCTTCCCTATATATAGATTTCAAAAGTCTTAAACCATTCAATGAATAAAATATTGCTTCCGAGTTCTGTCTTACCTTATGCTGAGCTATTGATTCTGTATAATCATATTAAAAAATCACTTACAATTTACTTTACTGAAATACACAACTTTCACATTTAAAAGTGGGCTAGGGGGCTTAGCTTTTTTGCAAAGATATACATTATATAGGCATTGAAAATTGGGCTTACTTTTTTTTTTTTAATTAGCCCCCACTTTCAATAAGCCCCTCCCCCTTTCAATTTGCTTCCAATGCTTAATACTACAAAATAAAATTGTCTACTTTGATGTGTGGTAACAAACCTGTTCAAACAGTCCGTACTGATCATCTGTTGGATATTCCACGGTGTCATCCTGAGGTTGAGGCTGGGTGAGGCCCGTTTTTTGTAACATACGATGTCGTAAACCTCCCCTTGTCAGCAGAGAGTGTCTGGTCTGAGGAGTGGACGGCGGTGAGGCCGACTGAGTCTCTTGTCTCTGGTCTGATTCCTCCTCTGGATTAACAGAAGCCTCAGTCTGAATTTCATCCCTCGACTCTCGAGTCATGTCTCCAATAAAGGCACTCATTCTGACTTCCTGTAAGTAAAATTATAATATTATTTATAATAAAATAAATGCAGTAAAACTTTTTTAGTAGGAACACAGATACACATGTACTGTATAAATAGAAATTTTAACGAGACGCAAATTTAGCGATTTGTCCTTAAAAACTGGTACTTTATTTCTAGCGAGATGAAATTTTTGCGATTTAAAAATGCTCACTTAGGAAGCTTTTACAAATAAAATGCAATCAATTTTTAGCAATCTCAGCACCCTAGCTATTAGCTAATACATGTAATGCCAAAATTAAATCCTCACTAAAAATTCTGCTTATACGGTATTGCGCATTCACGGATATAGCAAAGTTATATTGGTTCCCCAGCTATATGAATTTAATTAATTCCTTATACCGATATAACAAATTACGGATATAGCAAGGTAATTTCATTGTTCCCTGTGACTTCGTTATAATGTAAGAGTGATGAATTTATTAATTAATTTCTTATTAACTAATGAATATCAAATTATTTTGTATTGTATTTGTATGTATTTTTATTTCAGCTTATTAGATAAGTGTTGGTCATTCAGGTGTAACATACAGTGCTACCCTGTCATTTGCCTTTAGGGTTATAATTAAGGTCCTGGCCATAAGTCCTTTTATTTGTTTCTATTGGGTTTCAGTTTTGTGTTCGGTTTGTCAAATTCCCTCCAAATGTTCTTGGTTTTTCCGTCATTCTTTGTCCAGATTGTTTGTAGCGAGGTCCTACTGATTTTGTGTATGACAAATTTGACCTACTGACTGAGACTCTCTTCATCTTCTGGTAAGCTAATATTTATTAACTAACTTTAACATATCTTTAATATAAAGTTCATTAAATGTGAAATCTGTAATTCTTGCAAGATTAATTTCCATAGCACTTTTGCACAGTAAGGAAGAAATTTTGGAAGTCAGATTTTTTATTAGCTTTTAGCAGTAAAGCTAGGGCATTTTATGATCCAGATAATATGTACATATGTATTTTATGATAACAAAATAATATAAAGTCTGTGATAATTTGTAGTTATCATCTGGACTCCCAGCCATATACTGTATGATAAACCATGGGAGAATGCCTATTCCCACAGAATGGTACACTATTGTTTTTATGATCTATTGTTCATTAGTAAAAGGTACATAATTTCTATGAAGATATTATAGCTTTAATAGTAATATTTATTTTGTTGTAAAGTATTTTAATTGTATGCACAAAGTGTAAATTTTAAGGGAGTACTGTATTATGTGTAATGAATGTAAAAGTTACCTCCCTTTATGCAGCATTGTGTATAATATTGAATTGTGCATTAATGATTTTATGATATTTATGGCACGCCAAATTCACAAAAATGAGATAAACCTAGTTTCACATTTGATAAACTAGGTTTATCGGTTGTAAACTATAGTTTATGGACTGTAAACTATAGTTAACAACGTTAATCTATATTTTACATCTGTAAACCATAGTTAACGCGATAATCTATGTTTCACAACCGTAAACTATACTTAACACTGAAAACAATCATTTGCGATTGCAAAACATAGATTATCTGGTAAATACAGTTTCACAATTTGTAAACTATAGTTTACAAACCATGAACTATAGTTAACGATCTGATAAATATAGTTTTGTGAAACAATGATTAACAACTCTTAACTATAGTTTACGATTGTAAACTATAGTTTAGAAACGTGAATCTATGTTTATCAACAAAATCTAGTGTATTGTTAACGCTTATTACAGACTGATAAGCTTAGATTATCATTCGTAAACTATAGTTAACAACCATTAAATATATATAGTTTTACAGATGAAAACTATACTTAACGTTAACTATAGTTTACGTTTGTAAACTATAGTTTACTGTCGATAAACCTAGTTTATCAAATGTGAAACTAGGTTTATCTCATTTTTGTGAATTTGGCGTGCCATAGATATTCTCAATATTGTTATTATTTATCTCAATATTGTTATTATTTATTTCAGGGCAACATTAATATCACTATTTCTACTGCTATTAATAAACAGTGTGAACCCTGACAGGTGTTTTCATTATTACCATCAACCCTGTTACAATAACTGCACGAGTTTTACTGTATTTTGTTTGAGTGATTCAATCAGTGTCAATGTGAATGTGTCACGTATTCTGAATGTTGACAACATAATTAGACAAAAATGACAACTTTACCTGGCTAACTGACAAATTCTTAAACGTAGTATCAACATACTTACTTCTCAATAGTATTTCTAACTATCATCAAGTTACATTATACTGAAAACTCGACTTTGATCAAAGTGAAACTAGGCGTTCTAGGGGTCAAATTCAAGTCATTTATTAAGTCGTACATAGAACACGTCGTATTTCTTGCCACACGGACCTACGGGTTTTTTGATTGTTTTACATGTTCAGTGAAGTAATCTGAGTTTGATATAATTTTAAAGTTCATCCTTGAAACTATTTACATAGTCTTTGGAGATGAGGCTGAATTTGGTCTTAGTCGTAATTGTCCCATGCAGGTCTTCCAGTTCTCGTTTGAAATTTGGATTTGCGCCAATTTGTGCTCCTGAATTACAGGCTTAGCCGACCTGATTTCATATTTTGTCTATCACAGGTGCCTGAGAACCCCTTACCCCTCGAGTATAGACCTTTGAATTTTCATTATTTGAAAGCAATTGTTATAACATAATTATAATCTAATCCACACAATCAATCTGAAAAATTACGATCACTGTACAATCATTTTTTTAAATATTGCTATATACTATCAACAAGTCGAATGCTGATGGATGGTTTTTCCCTTTTTTCCCCAAATATTGATGACAAGGAATACATGGCAGGTGTGACCGTCGCAAAGGGGTGCTTACTCGGTCCTCCCTGGCACCTGATCCCATCTCTGATGTTTTAAAGGTCCGTTTTAGAGCTAATCCTGATTTGTATTGTTTGAATGGACTTCTGTTAGATGTTTTACTTACCAAAGACGGTTAGGACAAACTAACAACTAAAATGTATAGGAAACGATATGATTGAGGATAGATTAAAATGCTACAAAGTCTACCATATCTCTTTCACATTTGGATGTCTTGTTGACTAAAGAAAAGGAAAGCTAACGAATAAATAAACTGTATGACAAAGAGGATATAGGCTTTTCCACCGTCAACTCTCCTTATTTATGTAATTATATTTTATTCTAACATCTCGATCTGTATATGTTGTTTATGTCTCACAATTGATTCGATATGCCAGATGAGCTCCAGACTAATAAGTCGTTTCCAGACTACATGTAATAAGTCGTTGCTACGCTTTTCGCAAATTCTACGGTCGTTAAAATGACCTTATTTGTACCCTAGGTCTTTTGGTGGGTCAGATTTTGTCATTGTATTTTACATTGGAATCAACAATGGAGTACTCTTTATCCTGAACAATGCTATGTGCTCAAGTTGGGAGTGACCGGTTAGCGGGGGATGCTTAATCCTTCTAGGCACCTTATCCCACATCTGATGTTCTAAGGGTCAGGTGGGTCTGTGGCCAAAGCTTTGTTTAAGTATTCTGAAAATCTTGAAACGAAAATAACAGCCAGAATAAAACTCAAATTTAGAAAAAATATGTATTTTGTGGGGAAAAAAATATCTCCAGAAGACGTCATACACTGATTCCAAAAAAATGGCAATGAAATCTATCGCTGATGATCTTTCATCATAAGATCTCGAGGAGATCTTATCTTAAAGTTGAACTCACAATGTATTGTAACTCAGACTGTAATCACACTGCATAATGTAACTCAGACTTTAATGTATTTCACACTGTAATGTAACTCAGACTTTAATGTATTTCAGACTGTAATGTATTTCAAACTGTAATGTAACTCAGACTTTAATGTAATTCAGACTGTAATCTCTTTCACATTTGACTGTAATGAATGTCTTGTTCAGACTGTAATGTAATTCAGACTGTAATGTAAGCTCAATGTAATGTAACTCAAACATTGTAATGTAACTCAGACTGATATATGCTTTTGTAATGTAATTCAGACTGTAATGTAACTCAAACTCTCACATTGTAATGTAACTAAAACTGTAATGTAGCTCAGACTGTAATGTAAATCACACTGTAATGTAACTCAGACTTTAATGTATTTCAGACTGTAATGTATTTCAGACTGTAATGTAGCTCAGACTGTAATGTATTTCAGACTGTAATGTAGCTCAGACTGTAATGTAACTCAGACTGTAATGTAGCTCAGACTGTAATGTAACTCACAATGTAATGTAACTCAGACTTTAATGTATTTCAGACTGTAATGTATTTCAGACTGTAATGTATTTCAGACTGTAATGTAACTCAGACTGTAATATAGCTCAGACTGTAATGTAACTCAGACTGTAATATAGTTCAGACTGTAATGTAACTCAGACTGTAATGTAACTCAGACTGTTATGTAGCTCAGACTGTAATGTAGCTCAGACTGTAATGTAACTCAGACTGTAATGTAACTCAGACTGTTATGTTAACTCACACTGTAATGTAACTCAGACTGTAATGTAGCTCAGACTGTAATGTAACTCAGACTTTAATGTATTTCAGATTTTAATGTAATTCAGACTGTAATGTAACTCAGACTGTTATGTTAACTCACACTGTAATGGAACTCAAACTGTAATGTAGCTCAGACTGTAATGTAACTCACACTCTAATGTAACTCAGACTTTAATGTATTTCAGACTGTAATGTATTTCAGACTGTAATGTATTTCAGACTGTAATGTAGCTCAGACTGTAATGTATTTCAGACTGTAATGTAGCTCAGACTGTAATGTAACTCAGACTGTAATGTAACTCAGACTGTAATGTAGCTCAGACTTTAATGTAACTCACACTCTAATGTAACTCAGACTTTAATGTATTTCAGACTGTAATGTATTTCAGTGTAATGTAACTCAGACTGTAATGTATTTCAGACTGTAATGTAGCTCAGACTGTAATGTATTTCAGACTGTAATGTAAAACTGTAATGTAACTCAGACTGTAAAATCAGACTGTAGTGTAACTCACACTGTAATGTAACTCAGACTTTAATGTATTTCAGACTGTAATGTAACTCAGACTGTAATGTAATTCAGACTGTAATGTAGTTCAGACTGTAATGTAACTCAGACTGTAATGTAGTTCAGACTGTAATGTAATTCAGACTGTAATGTAAATCAGACTGTTATGTTAACTCACACTGTAATGTAACTCAGACTTTAATGTATTTCAGATTTTAATGTAATTCAGACTGTAATGTAACTCAGACTGTAATGTAACTCAAACTGTTATGTTAACTCACACTAATGTAACTCAGACTGTAATGTAGCTCAGACTGTAATGTAACTCAGACTTTAATGTAACTCAGACTGTTATGTTAACTCACACTGTAATGTAACTCACACTGTAATGTAACTCACACTGTAATGTAACTCAGACTGTTATGTAAATCACACTGTAATGTAACTCAGATCGTTATGCAACTCACACTGTAATGTAACTCAGACTGTAATGTAACTCAAACTTAATGTAACTCAGACTGTACTCAGACTGTAATGTAACTCAGACTGCACTGTAATATAATTCAGACTTAATGCACAGACTGTAATTATGTAACTCAGACTGTAGTGGTAACTCAGACTGTAATGTAACTCAGACTATACTCACACTGTATAATGTAACTCAGACTTTAATGTATTTCACACTGTAATGTAACTCAGACTGTAATGTAAATTACACTGTAATGTATCTCACACTGTAATTTAACTCACACTGTAATGTAACTCACATTGTAATGTAACTCAGACTGTAATGTAAATTACACTGTAATGTAACTCACACTGTAATGTATCTCACACTATAATGTAACTCACACTGTAATGTAACTCACATTGTAATGTAACTTAGACTGTAATGTAACTCACACTGTTATGGTAACTCACACTGTAATGTAACTTAGACTGTAATGTAACTCACACTGTACTTAGACTGTAATGTAACCTCGCATGATTAAAATATCCTAAGGCAAATCATCATAGGATATTTTATTACTTATGTCAGTCTTCATTCGCTCTCCCTGTCATCAATCCAAAATTTATTTTACGTCATAGAACAATTAATATGGTAAACATTTTTACACTTTTTTTTTCATTCATAAGATTTAAGAACAACAGGTTCATTAAGATTTAAATCTTTGCATTGCTCTCACGAAAGTTTTCATCTTTTTGGTACGAAGTACTGGAAGGTGTACCGTCCCATTTTGTTCTTTACTATTTTGCATGTCTGGAGCGTTTCATTTCCCGGGATTTTCCAGATCTCTCCAGGAGAACGACATACAATCGGCTTCACACAATCTGTAATTAAAATGTCACTGAAACTCTACACTCAAGCTTGCTAGTACAAGGTCAAAAAAAAACATACTCAAGTTTTTAATGGACTGCAGTATTATGAACACTTAATTTTAAATTTAAGCTGCATTATACTAAAACCAGGAAGGAAAGAAAAATATTACCAACTGAATCTCGGACACAGCATTCTGAAAAATAAATCATTTAAAAATTTTGTTTCAGCAGTAATACCCGGTAAATACTGTTTTTCAAAAGCTTATATAATGTTCTCTCCTGATTTCTGATAAAATTTCCCGCCATTAAGTGATACTCACTGACATTTATGATTGACACTTTGTTTTGTTGACACGTCATCCCAAAGCAATCGTGTGTCCAGCGACTTCCGGTCTCCCTGCACCTGCCGTGTTGGTCCCGACACATTTGATTTTCAATGGTAATTGTCAGACATTCTTTAACGGTACTCAGACATTCTGGGACGAGAAAGAAAAATTCTGATACACTGTACACACAATAATTAAGACATAGATTTATTCAAATGTCCAAGTATCCAAATTTCATGATTTTTAATTTTTCTTTTTTAAAATAAATGGACAAGATTTGTATTGATACTTACTATCATTTAAGACTGATATTTTGTGACTTCGACACTCCAATCTCAAGCAGTTGAGGTAATCCCAGTGATCTCCGTCGGCTCGACAGTTACCGTCGACGTCTCGACAGACTCGATTTGTCTGATTGACGGCCAAGCATCGATCTAAAGCATCCCGACATTCTGAAATGAGAATTATGCCGACTGCTCAACAAGGATTATAAAGGACACGAGTGAACAAGGCGTACAGAATGCATATAGTGTCAGATGTACAAAAATCATTTAATTTGTAAATTAGATATTTATAGGATAAAGTTCTCGGTATTTCAAATCATGAAATTATAATAAACTAATTTCTACTGAGGAAAATTTTCTCGGCAAAAATTATTCTAAATTGGAATTTGTGGGGCTTAAGACCTAGCAATAAAAATCCAGAGTATCTTTTTTTCTGTGAGATTAACAAGCTTACCACTAGTTAGGGTTACAAAGTAGAATTTAAGTTATTGGAATATCTAGAATTGTTAAATAAACTAAAAAGATGTGAGAGTCGGCAAATCAAAGGCTGACATAATAAAGCATAAAAACTCTCAAATTCAGAGGTTATATGAAATACACATGTATATTTAAAAAAATTACAAATAAGGCCATTTTATATATACACAAAACGTATTTAATATATATGTATATATATTTTTTTTTATTACAAAAGCTGTGCCATTGAACCCGTGAGGCTCACTCGCTAAAAAAAGTCAAAAATTTATATAAAATCAAAACTTATAACGTTTCAATTGTTTTTTAAATGATGTATGTATATAATTCCTATATAAGTTTTGTATCAAAATACTTCCTTACGAGGTTAGAAAGCGGAATAAAACTTTAGTATTTATAACAAATTACCATTATGTCACAGAATCCCTTAATCTTTGAAGAAACAACTTTACGATATTCTAGTAGATACCTCTCAAAAATGTATAAAATATTTTTAAAGTCGTAATTCTTTGTCACATATCACGTTAAAGGCAACAACTGGAATCCTGTTTCTTACCATTCTTAATACACGCTTCCTTAGCTGTGTAAACAGTTCCCAGTAATGTAACAATAGTCCAAAGCAACATCAATTTCATCTCAATGAACTTGAAATCGGGGGACTGGCCACTTCTGCTTCTCTACCTTCTACCGTGGTCTGTCTTCTTTAGAGAGATTTATAACACTCGGATTGATTTCTTTTTTTCATTAAGTAAACTTCGTACATCACTTTACAATATAAATCACGTGACATATGGTCCAATAGAAAAGAAGTTCCGGAGAGTCGGACATTGCACTCAGCTTCATACATCATTCAAAGCTCGGAAAATTAGTAGCCTATTTAGATAATTTTCTGATTTTTTAGCTGAAAACTGTATAAGAAGGTGAGAGGACTTTGATTGTCCAACCCTTCTCAAAAGAGTGTGGTTGGGAGAAAACAAAATGGAACACCTCATTTAAACAGTTGTTATAACCTTGTGGGTTCGAAGGGAGTGTACCGATAGGGTGTGTACCGATATTCACTGAAATTCATGGCTGAAATTATATAATCCAACTCGTATGTGTACTTCAAGGATTTTTAAAAATACATATGCAAAAATATGCGGTCTACGAAGGAGACATGTGAAAAAGAGGCAGCGGTTAGAGCGTTTGCTCTAGAGTTGCAGAGTGAGGAGTTGATCCTTACGTCACAGGTTCGAATCCAACTGTGGGACATAGAGGCAGATCCTTCGGATGAGACCATATAAACCGAGGTCCCGTATGGCAGAAGGTGCTGGCACGAAAAGATCCCTAACTGTCCATTGGCTTCCGAGTGATTGGTATAGGTCTGCAGCCCTCCGTCGGCAAGTGGTGCTGTCTCAATATAAGTGAACAATTCCGAAAGGGAATTTAACCCCCCCCCCCCCAAAAAAAAAACAACAACATAAAAACATAAAAAGGGATGGGGTTATAAGTATCTTTTTAGAGATGCATAATAGTGTAAACCTTTTCAGTTAGATGTCTGTTATCATATTTCCTCATCTTCTTTGACTATGGAATATTTCGTATACCTGATAAATGCATTGGCCTTATGAGGGTTTGAGTCCGGTCTACATGGGAAGCTTACTCCTCCGACGCACCTGATCCCGCCTCTTAATGTTCAGGGTCCGTGTTTGATGTCCTGTTCACAGAGTTGTTTTGTTTTTAGTTTTTTCGATCACTGTTTGTTATCTTCAATTCTTCATGCATCTCTTTATTTAAGATTTATCAAGAAAAGACTTGGTAATGTTTTAAATGTTTATTGAATATGCAAAATTAAAAAAAATTATACAAACACATTAATCATTAAAAGCACGCGCTCAACAGTTTTTAAAGTACATGCATATCAATCTGTTCATGTTATTTCTATATTCAGAACAAAACTTCACATTTCGTTATGCATTATTACTCATCCTAAACCAATCGTGTCTACGTACAAAAGCCACCACCTATTTCACAGCATGGTTATTTCATTTGGAAAGGTTATGATTCTAGACTAACAGGCAAACTCTTATGGTTTACAGGTAATTAAATGTCATTCTGTCAACATCAGGGGTGGATCCTGGGTCCACTCTTTTACCGTTCGGCCCCGGATGTGAGAATGATAACGTGTGTGTGCTTAACTCTGATGTTTCAGTTCCTTTGTATTTGGCATCGATCTTATTATAGATATGATTTAAGTAAAAAAAAAAAAAAAGAAAAGAACAGAACACTCATCAGTAAAGGACCTAGACTACAGGCTTGAATTCTTCTGCAAAATTGTTGAGTCCATGTGTAATTGTATTGTAAAACAGAATTCTTAAAGTCAGAGTGAGTTGAAAGCATCCACATTTCTGATTTACAACAACTTTTAGACTAAGTCCACGTTACACCACCTAAAAACCAAATAAAGTGAGATGTGGAACATTTTATCAAAATTCATAAAAATTATTATAAGCCTAACGCTTATATTCTTTCATAAGCTTTAGGAGTTGATTCTCAGATACCAAAAAAGAGTATCGTGATCAGATGGGCCGACAAAATATGCTTATTTATCCACGTTTAAAGCACGTATAGAAATATCGTTCTTAGTGAAAGGAACTAAGAATCGCAGGAATCATCCTTGCAATGTCAGGGGTCTTGAGTCAATTCGTCACCGTTGTACCGCTGGCAAATTTCATTTGATATTTTAAGGCTTGCTTCTTTCATTGACAATCACCAATCAAATTAAAGCTTTCACAAAGAGTTAGATAATTTAAACAGAAAGGTTTATTTTTCAGTGGTCCAACGTAGATATAGATAAATATTTATTTGGTATACTACATATACATTGTAACAATGTATTTTTGACAATATAATTTTATGAAATATATGAAAGTTTGGCACTAAACAATAGAATTAAGATAAAATTTCGGAATCAATCAGTTTTCGGAAGACATGAATATAATTCATATTACCTTGTTTAGCAAGGGATAACCCATGAAAGCCAATGGATTATTTCCAATGGGGTCCTTTACGCAACGGCAACGACGGGGGTCTGTTGTACATCCACTGACTGGCAATTCGTGCAATTATCACGGACACTACAGCAAGGGAAACTGTATGACAAAGGCTGTACAATATTACAATAAACACATCAAAATTTGACATTGGTCTATTTAATTGTACTTCTGGATTCGACAGCCTCAATACTCGGCCATTTGGATCATCTCTGGGTATCGTATCCATTTCGATTGTTTGGTTTTTGTTTTCACGATTTCTAAGATGAAGGATCCTCAGCCCATCGAGAATCCACATTCCCACTAAAGGTAGATAGTAAACTATGCATACCAAAACAACAAAAGCCATAGCCTCAACGACATACACGACGCACAAAACAATTAATGCCAGAAAGGTCGAAATGACGAAAACGATTGAGATTTTCAACCAAAAAGAACGCGAGAATAAAGGTTTTCCCGTAAAATGCAGAAATCCCGTAAAAGTTTTTATCAGACCAAAGCACACGGACCACAAAGAAAATAGCCAGAAGAGAACGAATCCCGACACAGCCATTGGTATTTCTTTGGTATTGACTGTGTTCCTCGTACTTTGTAAGGTAATTGATACTAACAGTAGCACTTCGGATAATCCTCTGGCTAATTCCAATACATTAGAAGATTTTTTAATATTTTTCGTGGCTAAAATAGCAACGAACAAAAAGATGTTAGCTAGAATTGATATAATAATAACAGCAAGAGCTCCTTCACGGTGTTGTTCCAGTGATGGTGGTTTAAAGTAGTCCATTATTTCTCTTGCAATATATCTTGCTTTGTCTTCTGTATTCAGTTCATCGAAAACCCGATGTACGAACCTGCTAGAATACATGCCGAATCTGCATTCAAGAAATAAAAATTAGTCATTTTCATGTGGTCATGTGTTGGGAATGATTTTAAAAAATCGGAATGACTGCAGGTTTTTGCTTTACTTGCTTTCAATGCTTGGTATGTCAACAAGTGGTGGAAAAATAATAGACTTATTACTTTCCTAAACAAGATTATGGTACTATTATAAGAATAAAACATATTTCTGCAATGCTGAAATTAGCGAACTTTGTGTACATGTAACAATATCTTCAGATACGCGGGTTGATATAGAAGTAATATCACGGCAAAGTATAAAATCTTGATTACTCAATACATCGCAGATTTTGAATGTATGCAACCTTGGACGACATAACAATAAAATTTAGTTCACTGTGAAAAAAAAATGGCTGCGGTGGAATTCATTCAATAGTACGTACATGCATATGCTTTAAAAGAACGTACAAATTTCAACAGTATTAGCGTTCTTATTTCTCAGTTTCGTTTTTTGAGACGATAGCTTCTCCGAAGAACTAAGGGTTGTAATATCACAATAGATTACATAATTAAAGTGCGTCTGCGTAACGGCGCATATTCAATAGACTGCGCTAGAATATGCAAAAAAAAAAAAATGTTTTCAATAAAATTTGAACTATAAACACTCCTACCTATTTTGATTTTTGCCTGGAAATTGCTTTCAATTATTATAAATAGATATTTAAAAATATATTTAAAAGTTTATCAATACGTAAATGCTTTTTTTTTTTACCAAACCTTATTGTGTCCTTCCTATATTTTTTCAGTTAGACAAGTTTCAATCGACGTTTTTGAAAAAAAAATATTCATTACTTAAGGTCAGACGAGACGTTCCTAAAAATATGTTTTGTATATCTTTTGTATATATGAAAAATATTCAAAATTTTAATAACATTCTGATTTCTAAACCAGTTTCTAAACGTTTTTAAAGAATCCAAACACTTAAACATTTGAAATTGGAAAATCATTTTTCTTTCCCAAAGAATTATATAAGAAAAACTACCCCTGGTATCTTGCAGAAATGCCTGGTAAGGTACCTCAATTTTTTGTGAGTAAACATGTTTAAGTCGCAATACTTCAAGGACAAACTCTTAGAAAAATTTATCTATTAATAAGGAACGTCTCTGTCATACCAAATTATCAACTGAATTTCACCTGTTCACTGATTTTAGCAATCCTACTTTAAACTTACCTTTACAGGTGTATAGAGAATGGGAAACACATATATAAAACTGTTTATATAACCTCCTTAATTGAATTACGCATTTTAATATGTAAATTATCAAACAAGGGAAAACCAGCTTGAATTTAAGCTCGAATTGCAAAATGATCATATACATCATATCGGCATACATGTACAGGTTTGAAACGCCATAGCTGCCTTATGTGGTTATTTCATTAGAAGACGAAGCAAACAATGACAACAGATTTAAAACGAAATATGACAATGGGAAACAATGGATACAAAGTTTGATAAAACATATATTTGCTGTATCTTAATAAGCTTCAATTTTCGGTAACATTTTTGGGGGGCTGTTCATATTGGTCGTATGTATCGCAGTTGCTATACGACAACTACTTAATCAAACTCCAGAGAGCCTAAATTATATGCAACAAGAAATGTGACCGTGGAGTAGCAGTTTTAATTCTATACGCTCAGTTTGGCCAATTTTTCTTGAACAAGTATTGCAATTTAACTTTGTTCTGTTCTTATTTTGTTTTTATAAGAATTCATAGTTCTATATTAAACAAAAAAAGGTAAGATCAAAATGGGATTAAACGAAAGTAAATGAATGTTATAAATAGTCAAAATAATATCATTCGGTCATAGCGAAAAACAAGCGTGCCGTCTGTTGTCACAGTTGCATCGGCAGTCCCTGTTGTAAAAGGTTGTGTATATTGTAACTCATACTGTACTCAGACTGTAATGTAACTCATGCTGTAATTTAACTCACTCTGTAATGTATCTCAGGCTGTAATGTATGTCAGACAGTAATGTAACTTACTCTGTAAATTAACTCAGACTATACTCATACTGTTATGTTACTCACACTGTAATGAAAATCAGACTGTAATGTAACTCACACTGTAATGTAACACAGACTGTACGCAGACTGTAATGTAACTCAGACAGTACGAAGACTATAATGTAACTCACACTGTAATGTTTCTCAGGCTGTAATGTAATCAGACTGTAATGTAACTCAGACTGTAATGTTACTCACACTGTAATGTTACTCACATTGTAATGTAAATCAGACTGTAACGTAACTCAGACTTTTATGTAACTCAGACTGTAATGTAATCACACTGTCATGTAACTCAGACTGTAATATACCTTGTAATGTACCTCAGACAGTAATGTAACTCAGATTGTACTTAGACTGTAATGTAACTCATTAATGTAACTCAGACTGTAATGTAACACAGACTGTAATGTAACTCAGGCTGTAATGTAACTCAGAATGTAATGTACTTCCGTAATGTAACTCAGACTGTATTGTCACTCAGACTGTAATGTAACTCAGACTGTACTCAGACTGTAATGTAACTCAGACTGCAATGTGACTCAGATTGTAATGTAGCTCAGACTGTACTCAGACTGTATTGTAACTCACACTGTAATGTTACCCACACTATAATGTAACTCACAATGTAATGTAACTCAGATTGTACTCAGACTGTAATGTTACTCAGACTGTAGCTTAACTCAGACTGTACCGTAACTCACACTGTAATGTAACTCCGACTGAAAGCAGACTATTATGTGACTCAGACTGTAATGAAACTTGGACTGTAATGTAACTCAAACTGTTATGTAACTCAGACTGTAATGATACTCACACTGTAATGTAACTCAGACTGTACACATACTGTTATGTAACTCAGACTGTAATGTAATTCAGACTGTAATGTTACTCAGTATGTAATGTAATTCAGATTATACAGTAACTCAGACTGTACTGTAACTCAAACTGTTCTAAGACTGTACTGTAAGTCAGACTGTACATTGAATGTAATGTAACCTGGCATGATTAAAATATCCTATGGCAAATCATCATAGGATATTCTTATTATGTCAGTCTACATTCGCCATCTCTTGCACCAATTCAAAATTGATTTCAAATCACAGAACATGGTAAATATTCTGACACATTTTTATTTACAGTGGACCTTCAGATATCCGGACGATTTAAGATTTAAGGACAGCAAGATCATTTATATTCAAATATTTGCTTTCACAAAAATTTTTATATTTTTGGTTCGAAATAATGGAAAATGTAACGTCCCATTTTGTTCTGTTTTGCATGTCTGGAGCGTTTCTTTTCCCGGGATTTTCCATAGGCCTATCTCTCCAGGAGAGCGACATACAACCAGTTTCACACAACCAGTAATAAAAATGTTACTGAAACTCTACACTCAAGCTAGCTAGGTCAAAAAAGGGATTCTTTTAAAATGCATCCCAGTATTATGAAAACTTATTGTAACGAGGCCGAAAACTTATTGTAACGAGGCCGAGTCTGATTCGAGTGCACATGACTTTGCGCAGCTTTTTAATTTTATGCAGCCATTTGTGCGACAGTAACCCTTGCCAAATATTTTGATTTTAATACAAAATTAACATTATCTTTAACCCCTACTGGTCTGAAAATGTGATTTTACAAAAATATAATTAGGAAAACCGCTGAAATGGCTCTAACGACGTCACCATTTTCGGATTTTGTATGCAATGCATGACGCTGAAGAATGACGTGTGACTCGCTTGTAAGACGTCCATGAATAATATACAAAAAACTGATGACAGAACATCAAAAGAAACATACTAGAAATCTACACATCGCTATATTTACCGAAAAAAAATCATATGCACCGATAATTTATCTGCACTGATATTTATTCTACTCCAGCATGCTAGAGGTTCACGGCGAGATACTTTTGACTTGGCGCCGCGTATTAGGAGCGTAGGGACGTTAACCGAGGCTCTTACTTGTAGGAGTATGATATTTATTCATACTGTAATATGGCAATTTTAGAGGTATTTAGCTTTGAAAAAATAAACTTAAATCAACCTAAATGATGAACTTTTTTGAACTTTCACAATTTGGTGACTTTTTACAATAACTCTCATCTACTTAAATGAAAAAGAAATCTCTAGGGCAGAAATACAAAAAATATGGAAAAATTGTTATAATTTGGCGCTTTTTCAATAATTCCTATAGGGTCCGATAGTAAAATTTTCAAATCTTAAAACAATAAATATGACAGTAAAAATTAATTATCAAAAAATTATCAAAAATCCCCTAGGGCAGAAATAATTAGACTCGGCCTCGTTAAATTTAATCTGCATAATACTAAAACAGCAGGAAGGATAGAAAAAAATATTACTAATTACGCTCCCTCGTGTCATTATGACCACGCCCATCGGATATCTGCACATAACCAACATTATTAAATGGGGTAAGTACTAGACATGCATTGATCAGGTATCCGAAATAAAATAGTTATCTGTAGTCAAATTCAATATAAAATCAAAGGGCTAACAACTTCTCTGTAATATGTCAGTCAAAATACTATTCAGTATAATAGGTTATATTTTTGTCATCAAGGTCATTACAAGGACCACGGAATTTACAAAATGTCTTCAGTAAGTGTTAAAAAAAATCTATACACCAGTCAAAGTGTCCTCGGTCGTAGTGTAAAATCGCATATTTTCAAGGGGTCAAATTTTCGTGGTATTATTAACCCTTCCTTTTTTATATTATATATATTTAGTATATAAACAAATAGATAATAATAATAATATCTAATAAAAGATAGATAAATAAAATAATAGATTATATAAACAATAGAAATGTTGTTAATTAATTCTGTAAGGTTATGTATACTGTTGATTGCACATGTTGATCCTGAGTCCACTCCAAACGGATGATAGCATGTGTGAGTGGCTCAATTCTGAACAGAACAGAACAGTCTCATGAACAATTGACACACAGGCTTGAATTTTTTTGCCAAATGGTTGATTCCAATTGATTTTTAAAACAGAATATTCTTTAAAGTCTTTGTAAGTATAGAAAACATCAACATTTCTGATTTACAACCGGTTTAGGACTAACTCAATGTTACGCGACCTAAAAGCTAAAGAAAATGGGATGTGGAACATTGTATCGAACTACATGTACATAAAAATATTTTATCGTTACTATTCTTTCAAACGCTTCAAGATTTGGTACTAGTAAACAAAATCAACTAGGAGAACCATGATTGGAAGGATCGATATAGTATACCCTGTATATTAAAAAGAAGTTTTGTACGTTGAGGTTGTTCTGCTTGGTTCGTTTAAAGTACATGTACTTCAGTACTTCAGTTAGAAATACTGGTCTTCATGACAAAGAACTGGGATAATTTATCCATGGAATACCGGTTCTAGGAAGGGGATAATTAAGAGTTGTATATAGACAGGGGTTTGTAGTACACCCACTGGCTGCCAATTCGTGCGATTATCAAGGACACAATCGCAAGGGCAATTGTATGGCAAAGGTCGTACAATATTACATGAAGCACTTTGAAAATAAACGTTGGTCCATTTATCTTTACTTCTGGATTCGACAGCCTCGTTTTATGGTCATTACGATTATTTCTGTTTAATGAATCCATTTCGATTGTTGTTCGGTTTTCACGATTTCTAAGATGAAGGATTCTCAGCCCATCGAGAATCCACATTCCCGCGAAAGGTAGAAAGTAAAACAAGCATATCAAAACAACAAAAGCCATAGCGTCAACGACATACACAGAACAATTAATGCCAGAAAAGTCGAGACGACGAAAACGATCGAGATTTTCAACCAAAACGAACGTGAGAATGAAGTTTTTCCTGTAAAATGAAGAAATCCCGTAAAAGCCTTTATCAGACCAAAGCACACGGACCACAAAGAAATAGCCAGAAGACAACGAATCCCGACAAAGCCATTGGTGTTTCTTTGGTATTGAATTTCACCGTATACAACGGGTAACGCGGGGGAGTCGCTAAAAAGTATGGGGGAGTCGTTTTCAACGTATGGGGGAGTAGATTTTCACCGCTTCGGAGTCAGAGGAGATGTGGGTCAAGTCTTTTTTCGGTATATATAAGATGTATTTACAAAAAACAAATATCCCACGGAAGATGGCAATAGTTAAGCTTTATCGTGGTCATTTGTCCGGCTATCATATACGTCTAGTTTTCTCAAACACTTCAAAACTATTTGACAGTTTTCATATTTACGTTGATAGGGTAGTAAAAACATGCATGATTTGCACAATCTACGGCTTGCGTAGGGATTCTCATATTTAAAACAGCGAGAGAAAGCATTTATCTTTTAAATGCAACAACTTAAACTTGACTAGACTTAATAAAAAATTAACAATTAAGACATTTTCTCTTCAGACAGTAACGGTTACGTAGGGGGGAGTCGTTTATGGGAAAGCACATCGCAGGGGGAGTCGCAAATAAAGTCAAATGCATATACTTGGTGTTGTTTTCATCTCTTTAATACAGCCAATACCTTTTTTATTTACTCGTAGATATCTATAAATCTATGTTTGGTTATTTACTTTATAATCTGAAGTTACGAAAAGAGATTTTTTCTGTGGCTTTAACAATCAGCAATTTAGATAACATGAACAATTGGATTATATATCATGTGTTTGGGGACAGGACCCTCCCCCTCAGTATGTAATGTTCGTACATGTATATCATAAAAATTCAATTCACCGATTCACGAACCCTCACCTCCAACAATGAAAGCCTCTCCATAAAAAAAAAGAACAACCGGATTAATAATTTGGAAAATTTCTCAATAATATCAAACATTTTTATTATTATTATTGTTTCAGAATACTTAAATTAAATAATGCTAATGTGTGAATACAATTTGGTTGTCAAACTGTTGTAACCTCCTTGCACCAACCCATTTCTTTTTTTTTTTTTTTTTGCTCGTCAAAATTTTTCAGGTGAGTTGTCTGTAATTTTTGTTTGTTATATTTTTAAAAATAAATTTACACTGAAAAGAATAACCTTTCTACTGTTTTCGTAAGTCAAATAAATAGCTGTTTGACCATGGAGCGAGATGTTGGACCTTTCGATGAAATAATGCACCGTTTACGTCAAAGTGTGGGTGGGGTCAGCTGTCAGAACTTTGCGGAATTGACAGTTTTTCTATGCAGTGAGGGTTAACAAAAATTTCATCATGATAATATCAAAATAAACAGTAAAATGTATAACAAAACATTTATCGAATGTGTTCTCTAGATCTGTTTTGTCGACCCCTTGAACAAAAATATTTGCCTTCGGCCTAATCGTCTCGTGCAAACAGTTTGGTTCTTGGATCCGACAAAACGCATGTTGCCCTCGAACCCTGTCTATGAATGTATAATGCTGGTTGCCTCAGACTGATTCTGGTACAACAACCCGCCATGCTATGTGTTCACGAAACTGCGAAGGGGGGAGGGGTAAAGGGGGTAACATGTTCTGAGAAACTGTATATAGTTGGGGCAAGGTAAGGGAGAAGTATCATGATAATGAAATGTATACATTGAAGAAATATTTTCGTATTTCTTCTTTTCAAAGTTTGTGGTTAATTATTTTTACATTGACACTTCTCATTTTATTTATCATAGACATACATTTCCAGCGCTTTAGGTAATATGCAATCCAGTCCCTTCTTTAGCATTCATTCTGTACATTAACCTATGTGTATTAACCTCAGATTATCCAAAATATTCTCAATTAACATACTAATTCGTTTGTGTCTGAAGATGTGTTACTATATATGATAAATAAATAATAAATTGTGAACCTAATCGTGAGAATATACCAGTTAAATTTAACACCCTTCCCAAAGAAAACGTCAAGGAGCGTGAAGACGCGTCAGAGATCTGCCCTTTTCTAATTAAAAAAATGGTTGATATTATCAAGAAATTTTTCATATTATAAATCTGGTTGATTTTTTTTTATGGAGAGGCTTTCATATTGGAAGTGAGGGTTCGTGAATTGGTGGTTTGAATCTTTGTGATATACATGCACAAACATTACATACTGAGGGGGAGGGTCCTGTCCCCAAGCTATGCTCCGATGATATAAAATCCAATTGTTCATGTAATCTAAATTACTGATTGTTTTCTGGAACTGATAAAGCCACAGAAAAAATCTCTTTTCGTAACTTCAGATTATAAAGTATATAACCAAACATAGATTTATAGATATCTACGAGTAAATAAAAAGGTAATGGCAGTATAAAAGAGATGAAAACAACACCAAGTATATGCATTTGACTTTATTTTGCGACTCCCCCTGCGATGTGCTTTCCCATAAACGACTCCCCCCTACGTAACCGTTACTGTTTGAAGAGAAAATGTCTTAATTGTTAATTTTTATAAAGTCTAGTCAAGATTAAGTTGTTGCATTTAAAAGATAAATGCTTTCTCTCGCTGTTTTAAATATGAGAATCCCTACGCAAGCCGTAGATTGTGCAAATCATGCATGTTTTTACTACCCTATCAACGTAAATATGAAAACTGTCAAATAGTTTTGAAGTGTTTGAGAAAACTAGACGTATATGATAGCCGGACAAATGACCACGATAAAGCTTAACTATTGCCATCTTCCGTGGGATATTTGTTTTTTGTAAATACATCTTATATATACCGAAAAAAGACTTGACCCACATCTCCTCTGACTCCGAAGCGGTGAAAATCTACTCCCCCATACGTTGAAAACGACTCCCCCTTACTTTTTAGCGACTCCCCCGCGTTACCCGTTGTATACGGTGAATTTGTTCCTCGTTCTTTGTAAGACAATTGATAATAACAGTAGAACTTCGGATAATCCTCTGGCTACTTCCAATTAAAACTCTAGCAGGTTTTTTGATATTTTTCGTGACTAAAATAGCCACGAACAAATAGACGTTAGCTAGAATTGTTAAAAGGATAACAACAAGAGCTCCTCCAGGGTTATGGTGTAGTGGAGGCTGAAAGTGGTTCATTATTTCTCTTACGATGTACCTTTCTTCGTCTTCTAAATTCAGTTCATCGAACACCGGATGTACAAACCTGCTCGAATACATGCTGAATCTGCATTTAAAAATTGAACATTAGTCAGACACGTTCACATGGCCATGTTGGGAATGGGTTTTTTTTAGAATCGAAATTACAGCATACTTTTGCTTTACTTGCTTTATCACAATTGTTATAAAATCTTTAATGTATCTTGCAGATTTTGTATAATGTGACATAAATTTTTTAAAGCTTTAGATTTACTTGACAACGAAATCACCTAGATTTCTTTTCAAATTTCACGCCTAAAACTCTTCTGGAAATAAAATTAAATGCAATTTTATAAGTCGTTGGTGAGTATCATTTTTGTAATGGTACAGATCATTATTGACAAGGAACTTAGGTTTTACGCTAGGCATTGTGTATACATTCAATATTTTTAAAGAGCATTCTTTCTTATATTTTTTCTTTGCAATTTAAAACTAAGTAATACTACGCATATCAAATGATCATTAAAAATTATACAGATATCAGTAAAGTTTATTGTCTGAACCTGGTAAAGAAAAGAGGTTTTCTCTCACACTTTACCTTGTATCTTAATTCCCAAGAGGAAAGTTTACTGGTTCATTTTTAAATGACAATCGGAAGATAGTCAAATGTAATATTAGAAAATAATACTAGAAAATAAATATACTTCTTTTTTCATAAGAATATCAATACGTAAGCCTATATCGTTAACGTTTTACCTAACCGTATCGTATTTTTCTTATACATGTATTTTATTCAGTCAGGGAAGTTTCAATAGGCCTTAGTTGGCTTTTTAAAAACAAATATTCATCAACCAAAGATATATGCCACCTTATTAATTGAATTTCACTGATTTTGACAACCCTAATTTAAATTTATCTTTCCTGATCTATAGAGAATAGGAAGCATATACATGTACTTAAGACAAAAATTTAATTCCGTTTATAAGTTTCTAATTTACATTAGATCTCTATATTCAAATTGTTTTAATCTTTTTGAAAGAAATGTGGTAAGATAATTTCACGTTGGCAATATTAAACAAAATAATTAGTTTTGAAAATTTTCAGAAGTATTTCAAGATTTTGGACTCAGTCGTAAGTTCTTTTGTAAAATGGCCCTCTGAAACCTTATTGCACAACCATAGCACAAAAGATAAAGCAAAAAATGTAATAGGGCTTTAAAGGTGCTTTTTCTTCCAAATCGCTCCTCAACTGAGAGAGAAAACAGAATTTTCTACACCTACAGGACACTATTAACCATAGCTGCAGAACTGTAGCGTTATGGTTTTATATACTAGTATTTGTCTTTGACCGGTATTGGTCATGCAAAGACAAAAAATAAAACCGTAATGTTACTGCAAGGGCGGATTCAGGGGGTTTGGGGGGGGGGGGTTCGGGAACCCCCCCCCCCCGCTCATTGAATTTTTTTTTTTACAAGTGTCATTTTATCATTTTGTTGCATTGATAAGACTCTAATATACACGAATCCATTGTTCTGTACAACTGTGAAATATACTTCAGCCACGTAACAGGAAATCACTTTCCGCTTGAACGCATACAATACACAGGTAATCAACAAAGAGAGGGGTAATCCGTGAATCTAGTGAAGTCACAAGATCATCGTGCAATACAATGTAGTCAAGTACCAACAACAGAAAACTGCATATAGTTACGGTGCTGCTCAGTAATATTCCTTTGCTGATAAAATGCATGTTTTTTATTAACTATTTGAATAAACTATTATATAGGGTTTTTTATTTACCGTTTTAAAAATTAAATTAATACATTTTTTTTACATCATATTGACAGTATACTCAAGTAAATTGAAAAGCACTAATTAGGAATTCTGAAAAGAATCCAATGTTTGATTTTTTGAAAGTGTTTAAAATTGCACATCAGTTGTATCTCAGAAGTCAGCTTGACTAAATTAATTGAAAATTCATTTAAAAGACAACTTGAAGTCAACTGCTTGTATTCCTAAAATTGTCAGATGTAACAATTTTTTAAAACAAAGTCTAAAGTCTTGTGTTAAAGTTAAATTACATGTAATTTGAAACATTTTATTTATCTAAATTCTTAAATATTTGTGATGATTGGTCTTTAAAAAGGCTACAAAAAGTACAAGAAATGCTGGAAAATGCACCATTTTAGAACTATTTAAAACAATTTTTTTCGCGGTGGAGCCCCCCCTCTCCATTTTTTTAAACAAGGTCTAAAGTCTTGTGTTAAAGTTAAATCAAATTGAAACATTTTATTTTTCTGGATTCTTAAAAATTTGTGATGATTGGTCTTTAAAAAAGCTACAAAAAGTACAAAAGAATGCTGGAAAATGCACCATTTAGAATCATTTAAAACAAAATTTTCTCGGGGAGGCCCCCGAACCCCCACCTATGGGAGGGGGACACCCCCTCCCATGCCTTCCCCCTTCGGCCCTTTGGGCCTCAAAACCCCCCACATGAACTTCTGGATCCGCCACTGTACTGTAACCGTTCTGCAGCAGCAACATCAATCACAATCCGAAATATGACTAAAAATTATAAACAATTGTAAAAAAAATTAAATTAAAATTCAAAATAATCCAATACCTATGAATGTCATGTACAAGATAGTGTTGAAGATACCTTTCTTCAACTGTAACAAATGGAAATCATTATGGTACTTCCTTGTTCTAGATATCCTTGCGTTTACGACGCCATTTGTAACGAAAAATGTCAAGTTTCCTCTATATCTAAATATCAGGCAATGAGCTACAAACAAAAATTATACATTCACACATTGACACCAATATAACACAGTAATATAAATAAAAGAAGATTTAATCAATATGTAAATTCAAATTTAATTAAACAACATACCCCCAAATATGGCGATGCAACATCCACTCACTCGAACGTATAATTATTTCTGCGTGTTTTGTCTGTACAATGAAATAAACAAAATACCAATAATTAATATTTAAATTGAAAACATTTAGTAAAAATACATAAGATAATAAACAAACACCATAACACACAAAGACAGAAATTCCATAAATGGAATATCAGGTTACCAAAGGTGCGCTTTTCGCGTTTTATGCACAATTTCGTGTACCGTAACGTTACAATCAAAAGGCACTTGTGTCGTATATACGGGGTACCCCTACTTAAGGTACCTGACTGACGCAATATCAACCATCCCCACTTTCATCCAGTTTTTTTCTCTCCAATTTATCAATCATTAACCTACTTCAGTAAGACAAATCTCACTTCTACAGACTTTCTCTTTTCAAATGCACCGGTATATCGATCGTACCAGATGTCCTTGTCCAAGCCTCTTTATTGTTAAATCAATCATTTATTCCTCGAAAATTACATCACGACGTTTTAAGTATATTGTACAAAACCTTTTACTTTACTCCTAACTAAAATATTTACAGCAATGAAGGAAAAACTTCATGAGTATAGTACAACATATTCGAAAAGCGGAGTATATCCGATGTGAATACTAGTACTTAAAGCCTTCAAGGACCTACAGTATTAGAAAAATACTAAAACCAATAACATCAAAAAGTATGACTTTTCAACACATCTTAGTAAAAGTTTTTCAGATTTATTAAACCTTTAAAATGCATCATTTGAATGAAAAGTGTTTAAGGTAATAGAAGGGATCTTTTTATAAGGGCTGATGTTTCTGTTATGATTTTCTGACACTGAAGTTTGATTTCAATAACACTGATATCATCAAACAATAAAATGAAGCAATGCTCTCTTGACAACTCCGCCCTGACTGACGGTGGCGCCGTCTAACACTGGGTACAAACTGCATCTCGTTATCAGCAGTCCTATTTTTATTTTCATAAGAAGATTTTATTAATAAACTTCTACATGAGAAGAAGAAAACATTTGCTGTGGACTTCAACTCAACGATATACTGACGATGTGTTATCATGTAACAAAATAGTTACTTCCATTCACAATTAAGTCAGCTCGCTTTATCCAAGTGAGCTTGAAACAAAGATACCACAAAGTCTGGTACCTACATTTCATATGTGGATAGAACAAAGCTTTATGATAAACGTGATGAATTTTCATTCATCAACTTCTCTTACTTATGCAGCAATATACCCTTACAAACACATGGAGTTAATAATTTCTCTCATTTGATTCGATGCGTAAGAGCATGCCTTACTTAAGAAAAAATTCTAAAATGGACTAGCTAATGACATGTTGATAAAACAAGGATATCAACTGTCTCTTTCGAATTCTTAATTTCACAAATTTTTGGTAAATACAATGACCCTGTCAGAAAATGCAACTTATTATTATAGATAATTATGTACACACAGTTGTATATTTTTTTCAACTTTTTTACAAGAATCGCACGGCGGGTGTGGTCGGTGTACAGGGGCTGCTCACTCCTCCATGGCACCTGATCCCACCTCTGATGTTTTATGGAGGTTCGTCTTTGCTCCGTTCCAGATTTGTATTGTTTCATTAGCCTTTGAGCTTGAATACTGTTCGGTATCTCTATATTTATCAATGGATTAGTGTTGGCAATTCTTCCTCTGAGAGAATATTTCCATCCCGGAACGCTTCAACCTACGAAAGCCTATTAGGATCACTCTAAAGAGACAAAAAATTTCAAAGGCGTTATAACGCCTTTTGAAAAGGCGTAATAACACGAAAAGGGGCGTTATAACGCCTTTCTAAAAGGCGTTATTAGTTATTACGCCTTTCCATTCAAAAAGGCGTTAACACCTTTTTTAAAAGGCGTTATTACGCCTTTCCAAAAGGCGTTATTACACCTTTCTAAAAGGCGTTATTATGCCTTTCCAAAAGGCATTATTACGCCTTTATATTCAAAAAGGCGGAAAGGCGTAATAACGCCTTTCTAAAAGGCGTTATTATGCCTTTCCAAAAGGGTTATTACGCTTTTTTAATAACCAGTATTTTGCATTTAACAGGCCCGTGTTTCAAACCCCCCCCCCCCCCCCCCACTCTACTGACCAAACGCCTGGGTGACTTCTCGGTAAAACTTTGTTTAAATGTAATAATTTGTCACAGTTTTACACACTGCAACAAAATGTTCAGGAACCAAGCAACCAACAGTTAATTATAATATTTAAACTGTAGCAAGACTTTTCCCCTAAAAGTGTGTATGCGTGGAGGGGGGTACCCCATTTGAAAAGAAAAATGGAAAGGCGTTATTTTATGTTAATAAATATATGAAAGATTTAATTAAAACAATCTTTATTTAAGGAATTCTCTATATTCCTGCACATCTCACTGACAACTGTTTGCATTCGTATTAAGAGAAGGCAACACTCTACCTGTGAAGATACGATATCCTAGTAGGCAGATGTATCTGGAGCTTTGCTTGCCATGTATTAAAATTCATGGCATTTGAAGATATTTTTCTCTCTTCTTGGAAAAAAGCAGGCAAACTATTTGCTATGTGTTTAAATTATTTTTTGAGAAATTAGTCCTATATCAAATTGTGAAATTCATGTCCCAAAGGTAAGATTTCTGCACCCCCACCCCACCCCCCCCCCCCCCCCCCCGACCACCACCACCACCACCACTCGCTTGGGCTAAATATGTTTTGTCATATATTGAAAATAAAAGACGAAATAACGCCTTTTGGAAAGGCGTAATAACGCCTTTTTAGAAAGGCTAGAAAGGCGTAATAACGCCTTTTGTAAAGGCGTAATAACGCCGTTATTACGCCTTTTAAAAAGGCGTAATAACGCCTTTTTAGAAAGGCGTAATAACGCCTTAATAACGCCTTGTAGAAAGGCGTTATAACGCCTTTTAAAAAGGCGTAATAATGCCTTTTGGAATGGAAAGGCGTAATAACGCCTTTTAGAAAGGCGTTATAACGCCTTTTTTCGCGTTATTACGCCTTTTGGCAAGGCGTTATAACGCCTTTTAATTTATTTTCTCTCTAGATTGATCCTAATAGGCTTTCTTATCAATCAAACCGTGGCATATGTTGGTGATAAAATAGGAATATCTTGATCTATTATTCATTTGTTTTATATTAATATTATAGTTTGTGGCTGTAGTCTGGGGGAACGGATAAGGAACAACTGTTGGGTTAAAAAAAAATTATATTGCACTCTTCGTTTGGAATTGAATCCCAACTCTCTTTTATACGATGCTTATTTTAATTTCACTTTGCTTGCATAAATGTCTTCATATTTTCGGGGTGTAATAATGGAATGTGTAACGTCCCCTTCTGTTCTTTCTAACTTTGCATGTCTGGTGCGTCCCCGTGCCTGGAATTGTCCATATCTCCCCTGGCGAACGGCAAACTAACGGTCTAACACATCCATCTGTATACCAAAAAGTATAAAATGAACACTACAATCAAACTCATCGGATTGTGCCTATATGAATAATGTATAATAACAATTAAAATAACATATCAAATATTATATCAATTTTTGGGGTGGGGGTGGGGGGGGGGGTAGATAGTACAGAAAATAAATTTTCAAAAGATAAGAGTACCTTTTTTATTTCGGATGCAGCATTCTGAAAAGGAAAAAGAAAAGTACATACTTAGTTGTATTCAAAATTCCGACCAATTATTGGTTTGTTAAGACTCCATGCACTTTTTTGCATAATCTTTTTGAATATCCCGCCATACACAGATAAAGTCATACTTACTGACATTTATGATTGACACTTTGTTTTGCTGACACATCATCTCAAAGCATCCGTGTTTCCATCGACTTCCGGTCTCCCTACACCTACCGTGCTGGTCACGACACATTTGGTTTTCAGTTGTTAATGTCAAACATTCTTTAACGGTTTTCAAACACCCTGTAATAAAACTGAAATAAACTCAGATCAACCGATTTCTAATTTTAGTCGCAAGTTTGTTTTTCAACTCCGATTTCTTATTCTCTGACACAACTGGTAAGAAAACGCAGACATACTATCATTGATGACGGATATTCTGTGACTGCGGCACTCTAAGGTCAGACATTTCTTGAATTCCCAGCGTTCTCCGTGTGCCCTACATGAACTATCTATATCCCGACACACCTTGTTTGTCTTGTTGACGGCCAGACATTGGTATAAATCATTCCGACATTCTGAAAATTAAAGATAAATCGGGGGATATGAAAAATAATCGTACATATTGCAATTCAGCGATTCATTTCAATGCATCCTCTGCGACTGGTCACACCCACCTTGTGTTCCTTGTCTTGATCAGGAAGTAACGAAAAATTCTGTCGACAATTCAGAATATAAATAACAGCCTAATAGTTTGTATGAAAAATGTCAGTCACTCAGTATTTGACTTAATGATTGTATTTGCTGACAAGGTCATTGTATCGACCATAGACTTACCAAATTATAATTTTAATCGAGACTGTTAATATTCTTGTTTCATTAACTAGTTTGCCAATAACTTGCCCCGTTTTAGAAAATACAGCATCCTCTTGCGTATAAAATCAACTGATCGAGAAATATAAAAAAAAAGTATGCAGGTGATAAGGTTCTATTGCTGCATAAGTAAGGGAAGTTGACGATTGAAAAATTAAAGTCATCAAGTTCATCATAAAGCTGCATGTGTTATTAAATCATGTGAGAATATGGCTAAAAAGGGAGTAAAGAAAAGTCATCCCGATTTCTACGTCAGTGAATAACAAAAGCAATCCAATCCTCAAAACGCCATGGATCCTGCGTCAACACGTTTCCGTTGGACTGCTGAAAATATTTCATGGGATTTTCTATAA